GGTTTGCCCCCCCCCCCCCCCCGCCCGCCCCCCCAACATAGGTCCGGCACGAGGGAGGCGCAACAACTGCACTATGGCAGCAAATACGGCGTACATTACATGACTGCCCCCCACCCCCACCCCCACCCCCCCCACGACTTATGGGTTCTGGCACGAGGGACCGCACTCGACTTGAAGACTTGAAGATGAGCAGGGTGCGCCAACTTGAAGATGGGCAAGGTAGCGGCAGACAAAGGGCTAGAATTCCAACTGCTGTGCTCCATGCGCGTTACAGCAGCAGTGGACAATGCGATGAAAGGCACACATTTATGCTCTACCTACCACAAGATACGTGGCGCGTTGTTTGGTACACGTGCACATTCCTGGCTCTGGGCAAATGGCCGGGGTACCAATACTATGTCTAACATCCGACTACAGAGTAAACACAACGTCGGAACACCCGTTTTCCGCTGCAAGGAAAAAGTTGACGGATGCCTGCCGTCGCGGTGATGTTTCCCCGTGTGCGTGAGAACGTTTTGTCGAGAAATTCTTTTCCGGGGTTGCCTCGGATGATCTACATGTGCTGGATGTTTGACCTGTTGGACTTGGAACAACACAGAGAATATTTGTACATTCGTACGCATACGAAGAAAATCTAAATGTAAATTGAAGAGCGACTCTTATTTGGCGCTACATATGTAGTTTCCTACGAAAAGTCGCGTGGCCCTCCCATGGTTGCTTGCACCCGAACAGAGACAGCAGGAGGGACCGATCTATTCATCCCACATGCCCACGACGCATTTCACACAGCGGAAGCTTGGGCCTATCTTTTGAAGTTGTTGGGTGGGGGTATGCTTCAGCAGTAGGCGTGCAGATGATCAAGAGTGCGCTCGACATAAGGAGATGGGATGGTGGTGGTTGCTTCCGTGGTGTTGAGTGTATCAATGACACAAGCAGCAGCACTCAGGCCGGACTGGGAGCCAACAACAGAAGTACATGGCTCGGTGCGAGACATTCCTATCTTAAGCGAAAATGCAATGGCCGGGCTGTTGCCGTACGGCGCCGTCAGCGGACAAACGCTTTTTCTTCGTGTTCCCTCTCTTTTCCCCGAGAACTCACGATTGTCATCCAGAAGACCGACAGGACCACCATCGAGCTGATGCAAGTCAGCACCCAGCTGATATGCTGAAGCCAACGGAAGTAGCAGGGCACCGGCGATCTGGTGCCCTTCACAGGAGGTGGTCTTTTCGGCTTCCCTTCCTCCACCGGTGCCGGTTTTTCTCGGGAAAGGTACGCCATGCACAGCAACGACGATATCAATGATATAACGAAATCTGCCACCGGGGGAGGGGGTTGGGGTTGCACGAGAGGGGGGTATACGCACAACAAGTCGCGAGAGAGGCAGGCAGGCAGGCAGGCAGGCAGGCGGCGGCGGGGCGAGGACGCGTTTTAGAAACAGGATTGAATCGATCACGATTGACACCGCATTAATTTGTCTATTTCCGGCGACGACGAAGGCTGCGTTTGTCGGAAGAGAGGTGGAGGTGGTGCGTGAAAAACGCCATGTGACCTGCAAACAACAGCAGATGGCCCAATGCGGAAGCACTTGCACGCGGAACAACGGCAGAGCAACAACCCTTGCTTGAAGACGCTCCATGCGCGACTTTCGAAAATAAAAAAAACACAGCTAGAATACCAGGCTGCGTTGACGTCCAAAACCCAACTAAAGTAAACAAAAAGACGCCGGAACCGCAGCGCAACCATCACCCACCACAGGAAAAATTCGACGCACATACACGAGTAGACACGGAGAACGAATGCAAACATTATTAACTGCGCCCAGGTCATCCATGCTGTGCCCGGAGAACACGAGCACCCCAAGGAACGCGGCCAAAAAATTCCCGATGCACAAACAACTGCGTTTTCCAAAAAGAGCCGACTGCAGTTCAATGCGATGCTATCCTGCTAGCATGCGATCAAAAGGTCGATCGAGCTCAGCACGAAATAACAGCCTACTTGACGCTGTTCCAACAGGCACGAAAAGCACCGGCCGCAAGCAGCTAAGCAAACAGAATTTGTCCGCGCGACGTCAGACCCCCCCAGCCCGCAGGGGGGCGACACACACACTCACAAGCTGTCGCGAGCATATGTGTCCAAGTCGCGAGATATATCCGAATATCGAGGTCTTCTCCTCTGTCCCACCAAGCGGCCCACACGATGCAGTAGATGGTCATGACCGCCTTCCACCCTACGAACCAGCCTTGCTGCAAGAACCTGCTCGTGCCCGCGCGGAGCCCTTGTTGTCTCGTGCCGCCGAAGAGAGCTCGCGTGCCATCGATTGCCAACCCTGTCGCCGACTTTGCAGCCTCAACCTGCTGGGCCGGCGTAGCCTTCAACAAACAAAACAACAACGGGGTTGTTGGACAACGGCAGGGGCAGCAGGAGCGAAGGATACCAGCGTGAGGCAACAGCAGTGGGTGTGCACGTGCATGCGGTACCTGTTGCTTGCGGCGCCTCCTGCGGCAACGACGACGGACGCCTGTGCGACACACGTGAACGCGATGATGATGACGAAGCAGCGAGGATTGTTGCGGATTGCGGACTATATATATCCCGGACAGCCGATGACATAGCATATGCTCTGCAGATAGCGCGTCCCGCGCAAGACACGAGACAACCCCGAGCTCACCATGCTGCCGCGCTGCTGTCGATGCCCTCAGCCTTGGCTGTCAGAAAGAGTGTGACGCGCACCAATGTGCGTTCGTGATGCACAGGATAGAGAACAGAGAAGGAGAGCAGGTGACCCCGAAAATGCTTTCCCCATTTTTTTTTTTGCCAAAAAAGAAAAAAAGATTCCCTGTTGTTGTAGCGGACGTACGTGAGCTCCGGTCTTCCCTCAAAATCCATATTTCTAACGGTCCGCAAAAAGATCCACGGGTCCACGCGGGTGCAAGACACACAACAGCACCAGTATTTCGTGTTTGGGCTCGCCTAAAGTTGTTTGTCGACCCGATCGTACATGGGCAACCAACCCGCCTAACCTCCCTTCTGAGTTGGAGGCAAAGGTCGCACCCAAGTGTAACTTACATACGATTTTGAAAGGTCGTATCGTTCACACACTGATAAAGGGGTCAAGGGACAAAAAAAACAAACGCGGTCGGCTTGCGGTCGGTCATGTTGTTTTTCTTACTCACAGGCCGGCCGTGATGGACACTATCACTAATCCCAAAGAGGCATGGACACATACATGTACTGCACCTGAACCAATCAATGAAGCCACATCACACTGTCTTTCGAAAGGGAGTGAACGAAATCAGTACGACCTATAGAAGAAGCCGAAATCAAACCATTAGACTACAAGTCAGCGCTGACTAGTCTATCTAATGGTTTGATAAATATAGACCTCCTCACAACACTAGCGTGCCTTCCTACTCCTCCCTGTCCGTTTCTATAACGGCTTAGACTATTAGACTATGCTTGTGCCACATCCATTCATAATCCATTTCCATAAGAACGCCAAGCTAACGCGACACTCACTAACTTAAGTCATAATTCAACTTATTATATTAAAAAAATTCGAAAGTGTTGTTGCGTCCCACAATTAACAATTAGCTCGGGAAAACAGCTCATCATAAGACTGCAGCAAGTTCCACCACTCTCGAAAACTCATGTATATACTGCTGTACCTCCCACATTCTTTCTCCACCCTAGTCTACAGAGTACACATGATACCGAGTATAAAACTTGTTGACGTCGTCCAGTCTACAGGTGGCAGTACTCAACTCAACTCGGAAGCGGACCGAACAACAAAACAGTAATAAGTTCCACACCTCACACGTTTTACCAAGCCAGGCGGGTGTTGATGGTGCAGTTTTGTTTCTTGGCCGACCGGGCCCACCACACTCCCCACCCTCGAGGGGCGCACGAAGAGCTTTCTTCGCAAACTACAACTCAAACCGAAGACGAAACAACATGCAAGTCAGCATCATTGTGCGGTAGGTAGCATCGTAGCTCTCCACGTGCGCCCCTTTTTGCGGGGTTGCACCCATGAAGCATCATGCCAAGCACACCCCAACCTTAGGCAGGACGCAAAAAATGAACGTACCGACGGCCTCTACGCCGTTGGTGGACCACACAGACAGACGAGAGGAGCCAAAACGATCGTCACGCTACACTCGACCTCGCCAACACATCATCATGCTACAACACTCAGCCGCCCCCCCCCCCCGTGAAATGAAACCGCCGAACTTCTTCTTGAGGGCGGCGGTGTACGACAAGTGCCGTCGAATCGTGCCGTGGCCACAGAAGGAAAACTGCGACGGTACCCTACAGTATGGCCACAAAAGGAAGAGGGTCGCACGACCACAAGGAAATGTTGGCCCCTCCTACACGACGACTGGTCTACTTGAAAGCAACACAACCACAAAAGATATCATCTACAGACACCAATGCATGTGTCCAAGAAAAAATACGTGAAACGTAAGCGCGACAAATCTCTTCGTTTTTGATTCAAGAAAAAGGCATGCTGAAGCTGAACACACTTTGGCGCTACGAGGAGGTACTGTCTCACGTTAGTCCAGGGCAACACCTCATATCTGCAAACAAAACGATATTTAAACCTTGTGGTTGTGTATGACAACCCTTCGCCGTCGCTCCGGTTGGTAGAACCGTCAGGTAAGGAAATTTAAAATTCTCCAAACACACAAAAGTACTGCTGTAATCCAGAACACCTCCGTCAAGCCTGTAGCAATTCCCGCTGATGAAGTAATACTTCATAATTTGTACTTCATAATTTACGTAACACAATATCTAGTATAGAATACAACGTCAAGTAATCCCCACGTGTCTAGTTTGCATGTGGGGGTGCCGGTCATGTTCGGACTTGTCAAAATATCTCATTCTAGCGCCAACTCTCCCCGGGTGAACCACGGATCGTACTTTAATGTTCAAAAATATGTTAACGCCCCACATCTGTCGGTGGTAGATGTGTGGCATCTAGCTGGTTCTCCCTGGCCAGATTCTGGCAAAACAGCTCCCCTTCCTGCAAGCCCAACACCTTCCCGGGGGCTAGGCCACTACTGCTAGCCTGAGGCTCCTCGGCGGGCCACCTGTCCTCCGGGTTGTTTTCCTGGCAGTTTTGCGAGTGTACCCTACCCTGCGGCTTTTTCCGGGGACGTTGCAACGCTTTCCTTCAGAACGCTACAATTCGCAGTATAGTAGTCCACTACTGCGACCCGCTCGTCCGTGTCACCGGTCTCCTCCCTACAATACAACAACCCGTTCCTTCCCGCCGAGCTCCTCAACCGCCCATCATGCAGCAGGACCTCAAGCTTGGTCGCTCTCCTTCAATTCGATCGATTGGGCCTCCGCTGCGGCCTTCGAGGTTCTGGCTAGACGATTGTGGTAGACGCTTTCGCGGAGCCTGTTTTTTCGCGGGGATGGGAAAACGTGGACATTGCTTGGGATGATGGCCAAAGCGGGTTGCTTTCAAGACCAAGCGGGTGCAGCCCAGACAAGTTTTGGCGGCGTATACACGCCGATCGATGATGACGACGAGCATGGTGACATCGATGTCGGAAGGCGCCCACTGTGCTGGCAACCAAGGTCTTTCCTCCCTCCGTTGGAAAAGGTGTTGAACTCGGACGTCGACTCATCATCTATCGAACCAAACAACAAAAGGCGTCCGACACACCCTGTCCCGCTATCTCAGTCTCGGTGTTGGAAACAAGGACTCGAGAACGATGAAGCGCGCGATACACCAGTAGTTTTCGTGGTGTGAACCTTGACGGGTTTGGCGAGTAGAGAAGAGCATCAGGGCTAGGCAGGCGAGCGAACTACCGCGAGGTCACCCTACACATGTCACTGCCGTTCGACGCTCGACCCTAAACGCGTAGGGAGGCTAGGGAAGAGGAAGGGGGGCGGGTCATTCAGGTTGCGAGGGAAAAAAGTGAGTAGTAATAAAATGGACCGCTTCAAGAGCATGGCGAAACTCGAGATATGCGGCATGTTGACAATGTACTACGATGTCTGCGCGACTTGGGGTGGAGCGAAGAAGATCGGGGTGAAACAGGATACAATTAAATAGACGTCATTTTTACCTGAAGAGGCCCAAGTGGACCAAACCGAAGAGCGGTGCGCCAACCAAAATCGCGCCGAAGGCATAGATGCACGCCCCTAGAGTGTTATCTTCCCAGTCGAGGATGATGTAAATCAGTCGGTCATCGTCCGGGGCGAGATAATACCAGCCCACATTGAAGAAAAGGTAAATCACCCCGAACGCCTGCGGGAAGAGGATATACCGCAGCTTGAACTCGTCGGCCACCAGGAACTGGTCCAGCAGCTGGGTGCAGGCACGCGCAACAGAGGGAAGCAACGGAGAAGGGGGGAATTAGCAAGCGTTCCATGACAGGCGCCATGCTGGTTGGTGAAGGCAGGAACGGTCCAAAGGTCTCCAGCAAGAAGGGACTTGAGCGTGAGAGGGCATAGCGGAACACAGCAGAGGTCATTTCGAGGGCACTTTTCAGGAGAAATACCAGCGTGACGTCGAGACCAACAGGCAAGACACAGAACGCTCACGATTCCAACCGCAACAGCAGTTCCTCCTACAGTTACACAATTACGTGCCCACCATGATGCAACCTATGAAAGCGTGTGCTTGTTCGTCGACCGTAGTGAGTTTGTCTCCATCGTACTAAAAGGCGTGCATGGTAGCAAGCACACGTGTTTCGATCGAAACGGAAGCAGCAGCGGGAGGGAGGGCGGGGTGGGATGTTTTGTCAAAAATAATTGCGCCACAGAGTTACATCTCTTGATACGGGTGGAGTGCATTGTGCCAATACACTCGGCAATATTGCACAATAGGCACGCATCGAAGATATGAGAAGAAAAAAAATGAAGCCACGTCCATCGGTGGCTGGTTTTCACCGTACACACTCGGCTCCGATTATCCGTGAGCAGCAAGTGAAGGGTGAAAAGCGCTTACAAAGCAAGTCATTTCGCGTGGAGCAAACAGTTCCTGAACATGGTCCACCGGTGCAACTTCCCGGTCGCGACATTGAAGCATGCATATTTTGATATTTTGTTCCTGTGGAGCAAAAACACACGGCCAGTTCGCCGCGAATTTTGAGTGACCCGTTTGCGAAGGTTCCCCTCCCTTCCTTTTCACCCTTTCTACGAGAGTGCGTATCCGCAGGTGACGAGTTCACCGGCTAAACATCGTCTCAGGCATGCTACGCCGAGGCCCATCCACCAATCACGACGGAAGGAAAAAATAACGACCACATAATCACAGAAGATCAACAAAAAAATACTCCGAGCTGGACCTGCAGACTACTCACCAAGGCCCCCCAAAATATGGTCACGACGATTAGCGAGCCTATGCACGCCGTACTCCAGAGCACGAGTTGCAGATGCCTTAGCACCGCCGGCACGGGCTGCGGGGAGCCAGTCCGGTCATACGGCCTTGATGCCATGGGTGCGTCCCTCCCTGGGTCGCCATCCCTGACGGGCCCTCTAGCCACCGTAACCCCAGCCGCTCTCCAGCACAAGAAGGCCGACAAGGCAGAAACGACAAAGTAACTGGTCGTAGCGTACCAGGTCCAGTGTGTCCTGGTGTGCAATGTGACATATTGGTATTAGGGTAGTGGTGGTGGTGGTGATGTGCCGTTCTCAACGTGGTTTATTTGTTCCGTTGTTCCTCATCTATTATTTCCGATATCGGTTCCGGGAGCTTAACGGGCCCCGCGGAGTGCTCCCCCCCCCTGCTCCTCTGGCGCGGATGACGGCTAAGGTAACCTCCAAGTATCCCCCCCGGCGGGCGACTGTTGTGGAGATCGCGCTGACACTCATAAACTCTATTTCACCAGACCTTACCAACGTGTGTTGAGGGGCAAGTTTACATAGTGGTAAGGCAAGGCACGTGACACACGCGAGCACCACGTGACTTCCATGGTGCTTGTTCGAAGCCTTGTGCTTGACATGGGCTCGTGAAGTCAACGCCACAGCCTCATGCGCGCTCACCACGACGTAGCCACTTCAGCGTCTGACACGCTCGGCCACCAATATAAACAGCGCCCCTCCTCACCCCTGCATGCCGTATCCCGCCCACTCACAAGAAGCGGCCTGTCTTGAAGTCCTTAACCGCACGCCAAAAAATGGCCCAATACAGGAAGTACACCGCCAGTCCTAGCTTGTACAACACAAACATTCCCTGCGGGAGGAACCGCGACGTGCCGACGCGTGGCGTCTCATCGTTGAGCGTGACCTCTGTGCCGCCGTGCAACGTCGTCGCCTGCAAAAAAAAAAAATCGCCACAACTCAAGTAAGTATGCGCGTAGCGAAGTTCCATCCCCGAGATATGAGCGTGGCCGGCGACGCGGTGGTGGTGTGGTTTGGGCGCCGATCGCAGAGCAAAAGGGATCTTGACCGCTGCCTCTGCGTGTAGCTGGATTTCAAGGAAAGTCCATCTAACTCTTGTGCCGCACGGCCAAATTCTGCTTATCAATCTGAGAGTCATATGATAGGGTGTGAAACGAGTGTGATATTTTTTTGCACTTGCATACAGCTAAGAAGGACAAGACTCTGTTAGAAAAAATGTCAATCCTATCCTAGACCCGCAAGAACCCCGTTACCGTAAGATTGCGAGTCATCGCATCCCCGTGCGGTCGTTTCTTAAACATTTTCGCCATTTACTTGTCGTCGCACACGTACCATAACTCCGGATCGTGCGATGACTCCGGACCATGTGCGGAAATCGGAACACATCATTTGGTTTTGATATTTAACGCACATCCCGGTGCGATAACTCCAGTATGTGCGGTCGGTCCGGAGTATGCATACAACCCTGAAAGCAATACCTGGACTCTTAACGAACACCCCTGTGCGATAACCCCGGTACCATTGGAAATACCCATGTTGTTCGTGTTGTTCATGTTGTTCATGCCTCCACATACTGTTTGCGACGGTGCCATATACAGCGGAGCTAACACTGGCATGGTTGCAGGGGTAAAACTTGCCCCGGAATCTTTGGCACTCAACTATTATACGCTAGGTTGCGAGTCATCGCGCGAGACATCGCACCCCCGTGCGATGGCTACGGACGCTGCGCGGAAAGGGGATGAAGTCATTCAGCCATTTTACCATTTAACCTTGTCGACGGGGGCGCGACTGTGCGACAACTCCGGACCATGCGATGACTCGCGATCTTACGGCATCCCCGAATGCAGCAGCTGCAGCAGTAGGTTGGGAGCTCGAATCCCGGCGAGGCATGTTTATTCCGTATTTCGTGCCTACTACAGCAGTAGATGTAGTGATGTAGTGGAAAATGCTTGTTCCTGAGTGTGGTTGGTTTGAGGGAAGGACGGCCGAACCCTTCTCAAGTGTAGACATGTAGCAGAGGGTTTCTCACGTGTGACAGTACGGATCGGAACTCATTCTTTTAAAGGGTTAGAGCAGTGTGTAGCGACGCTTGACAGCCGTGGGACGTCGAAGAATCAAGTGAAGAGAGGAGAACACCGTATGAACTCTCTCTGTCCTCCTCCACAGATGAAATCACATGTCAACGTGGCAACATTGACTTCACTTCACCCCAAAGAGATTCCGTTCAAGGTACAATAGGTGGCCCCGCCATATTGACAACGAAATAGTGGAAATGCCCTCAATAGCGGCATCAAAATCTCTTGGCAAAAATCTCAACCAAGTGGTGCTTTACCACTATTGAGGACGGGGCCCTCAATAGCGGTGTATTGGGCATCCCACACACCCAATAGTGGCAATTCCAAGTGTCGGGTCCCCACTGCTGCGGTATCATACCTGTCCCACACACACTCAGCAGTGGGCGCCACACGTATCATGCCAGCCTGCGCGAACCTAGAACTGCTGTGGGCATTTCCTCCGCAAGGCAAAGACGGCATTCTTCGCAGCGCATGCCGCTCAACCGGCACGGCAGTTGGACATTAGATCGTTTACCGAGTCAATGTGGAGTCAGTCGGTTGGCGCCTAAAGCAGTAGTTGAGGAGGATTGTGGCGGTTGGGATTGATGCGCCGGCGGAGAGTGTTCGACTTTTTACGTGTTTGCTCAAGATTGTTTCGCGTCTCTATGTCACTGTTTTCATGTGTTCTGCGTGTGTGAGAATCCGTGCTCCATGGTCCGCCGGACTCCAAAATTTTGTGACTGCTATGCGTTTGGACATGTTTTCTACGGTCTGGCTGCATAAAAAAATATGATTTGATGACCACAGGAGGCTTGGTGTCACTTGGATTATCAAGTGTCATTTTTTATTTATGATGTGTTTCATGGTCAACCACGACGAGTGTGCAGCAGTACACGGCATTTCCGCTGTCGGTACAAGCGCATTTGAGTGTAGATCCGATGAACCGCTGTCGGTGCTGCATACCAAAGCTTCTTATCCGGTATATAGTGGCAATAGTAATACCACTATTGACCGGTCAAGTACCACTATACCGGATAGTGGAAATGCCCTGAATAGTGGCATATTGTCCCCTTGCCCCTACATATCACACTATAGCGGGCCACCTACTGCTGTACCAATAGTACGTATTTCGTTCGACAGGGAGAATCATCCTCGTTTAGATGTCCTGGTCAACCTCTGACCTGTCCTTGCCACAGCTCTATGGTGATTTGCCCTGCAGGTTCAAGAGTTGTACAGCAGTAGAACCATTGGCAAGCTGTACGGTGGAGGTCTCACTAATGTACGGGGCTGGCCGTCCCTTGATGCCATGATCGAGGCCTCCATGGTCTGGTGCTGTCTCTCGAGCCCCTCCCCATTAACCACTTTATACCATACGCCGCGGCAGTTGGAACTCGGAAACATTGAGGACGGTCACCAGAACAGCAAATCTAAGGGAGTCTTCGTCGCTCGGAATGCTTGGGTCTTCGGCCGGCGCTGCTCAACACCATGGCATATGTATCATCGTATCGAACTGGTTAAAATGCTACATTACCTGCTGCGTGCACGGCACAGCAGTCTACTGTAGGTTCGTACCTCTAGGTGATGGGTTCTAAGTTTGCCTGCAAGTTGAAGACATTTGGTGCCACAAAACTGCGTCTGTAGCATCTCAAACTCCACCCGCGCAGCAGGCCATTATTCCAGCTGTGTGTGTATTCCACACAAGGTCGGGCCCTGTCGGTGTAGTTTGTTGTTGTTGTTGTCTTCACATTAAAAACCGTTCCCATCTGTCTCTACCCAGTACCTTCATATGTCAGTACTGATCCAACACTTGACGCGGTCGATTCCCGTGGTCACAGGCTACCTTACCCAACAAGGTACGCTCAAACAAACTGGCCCCGAGGGGTCCGCAAGTCGATAGAGATCAACGACAGATGCTCTGGAGCCCTCCGCTCCCTCTGCGCGCTATGCGAGGTAACGACTGAGACTAGGAGTCAGCATCACGGGCCAGAGAGAAAGAGGTACACCCCGTTGGTTCAATCTTGGTGCTTCACACACACAAGCAGAGACAAGGCCATCTGACACTGAAAAAAAAGAAAAAGATTTGGAACGATCCACAACCAATCGCTCTCACCATGCTCCACAGCACCAGAACCAAGACTTCCTGGCACAAGCACCACGGCTGAAGACCCACCCGCCGGCAGTGTTCAGGTCCCCGAGTATCCTGGTCATGTGCAGCAAGTACTCATGTGCTGGAGGTGGCCGTTGCCGACCAGGGCGGGTGTGCCTTTGCCTTCGGTACCGTAGTCAGAACAGACCAAGAACCTCCCATGACGGAAAGAGGCGTGCAGGTCGGGAGGAACATGACAGTCTCTTCTGTGACAACGCCGCTGCTTTGGTTGGCGGATGGCGTGCGATCGACGAAGGCAGCCCAGGGTCCTCCCAGCACAAGCCACCCCAATTCCAGCCAACCCCAATGACCTCATGTACCCGCGCGTGCAAGCCGTACGCTGTGCACACTTTTCTTGGATTGTACAGAGAACACGACGAAATCCGTCTCTTGCAAAGAATATCACCTCTCTTCACTTACAGCAGTACAACCTGATACCGATGTATGTTTTCTGTGAGGAACGCTTCATTTCGCTTCTTTCGGCTTCTGTGAGCGCTCTATTCCTGTCTTCTCGGGCTCTCACAGAGCAGCATTTCCTCTGGAAATTTGGCACTTGATTGGTGGACTTTCCACTGTTATCTTCCGCTTTTATCTCTCTCGCCTGCTGCTGTCATCCCGCTCTGTGCCACCGCACCACGCATTCATTCCACTCGAAGTACGGCCCTCTCTTTGTGTGCCTCCTTTTCTCCTCCGTTCCTCCGTCTCTCTATGTCTCTGACGGTCTGTCCATCCACATTCTCTTTTCATTTTCGCCTTCTCTCTTGACCGCTCTCGCGTCGGAATGGTCTGTTGTTTGTTCCGATTCCGGCAACGAACGGTGTTGTGTGGTCCGGAAAATACGAAAATACACTCCTTTCTACAATTGTACCTCCACTCTCGATTGCTACCCCGGCCCGCTCCTCCCACACACTCCTCCTCTCTCTGTAGCTACATTTGTTCAAAATTCAAGTAGTGCGTCCAATTCTTCGTGCTATCTTTATTCTTTTTTTGCAGTTCAAAGTAGTGCGTTAAATTGTAGTAGTGCTGCTGTCTTTCTTCATTCATTCATTCGCAGTTCAGCCGACAATTTCGTCTATTTTTTGCAGTTCTGAGTTCTGGATGTGTATCAGATAATAATGGAGGGTACTGGGCACGGCGATGGGAAACAAATAATGGACCTTTACATCTCCTCTCCTTAAATCACACACGAACCTCCATCATGGGAACTCCACCTTCACGGAAACTTTAACTGCCATCGGTGCCTACCTTCATTTGAAACAACATCCTACACCCACACGAACCTCCATCATGGGAACTCCACCTTCTTCACGGAAACTTTAACTGCCATCGGTGCCTACCTTCATTTGAAACAACATCCTACACCCACACTTACTTTCAGAGAAAACATATTGCCTTGGAATCGCTTCAAATCAAGCGGGGGCGCGCAGCGCCCAAAACCTTGTATCTTTCACAGATCAGATCCGCTGAGCAACTTAATTATTGCGACAGTTCGCCGAGCAGCATACAGCGATATCTCCCCCAGGTAGTAGGCTCGACACGACGACAGTTAGCCATATTGTCTATATCTGACTGCTGTAAGTCATGCTGGAGAGTTAGCTGTAGAACGCATAGTCTAGAGATTTGTGTGTTAGATAACAGTACAGGCAAGATGAGCGGGGGTGGACAAGGGACGTACATCTTCAGGCATTGCACTCCCTGTTTCCTTGACGGTTCTTGGTTGGTGGTGGTGTAGCACGTAGTAGTTTGGTGCATAGCGCCAGCGCACCTACACGCTAGTATTATATTAGTATGTATGCAGTTGTATAGACAGGTCGTAGGGCCGTCGATAGGGGCTTGTGCAACTTCAGCCGGGGTTCACGAATCAAAATGCCATTTGCGGGCCCCCATACAGAACTGGCGACACACATCGTACCAATCCGCACAAGCAGCCATCGCTAGAGCCTCTCCTAGAAACCTGAGCAGACTCCCTTTTGGGGGTTTTCCCTGCTACCGGTGCGTACGGTGATCGCTACACATCCTAAGAGAACACTATTTAGCGAGGTACATGTAAATAAATGCCGTTGACCCAAGGTTGATCGCTAACATTTTGTCAATGGCGCTACCTCACAGATAGGGTTCTCGGACACACCAAACCGAACCGGTGAGCTTGTCAAGAGGTCCTTCAGATGCCGAGGCTTCTCAAGCCTTGGTCGCAAGCGCAACAATAGGTTCAGAGCCACAAACTTGAGCACCTCGCGCACAACACCGTTCTCTCCCTCGCCTTCCGCAACTCATCTTTCTGTCACTACGATGCGTGCAATATACCAGGCGATCGTTATTATAATGCTCCGCAGGACACAACTAGCAGACCTTTCGGTTTCAACTGCCATGACACCAATCAATGAGGCAAAGTACAAACAACAACAATCACCATGTGTTCCACAAACCATCATTGCGCCCACACAACACTTAACACTGACAAAACAACAGATAAAAGATCGGTGTCCTGCCTGCGCATGTACATGGGGGTGCAATGAATTCACGCGCACCACTCCTATGTTGTTTGTGTTCACATTAAAAACGGTTCCGTTGTCTGCTCAGTACCTCGGAACCTTCGCACCTGTCCAACTGACGCGGACCCCTTCCGTGATCACAAGCCAACCACCGACGCTATTTCAAGAACCAAGGACAAAAAAACAGGACTACTAGCTGTACACTTTCTAAAAAGCGGGACCCAGAACATCATCACAAACACGCAAAGATAATAACTTACACAACGAAAGGAGTAAATAAAGTGTTACACGAAGAAACAATAGTGTACAAACCAAGACAGAACCCTGGGCTCGTGGCCCCTCCTCCCCCCCCCCTGGGAGAAAACGCACGGAAAATAACATCAAGTAGGTAAGACACTCGAGAAACTTGGTCGTACTCCGACGTTCAAAACAGCGCAACAAATTCTCACCACGCACGGCAATACGCATTCAGAGAATCCTTGAGCTTCGCAGCACCTAACACGACGACAATAACCTGTAGGCAACAGCTCATTCTGAGTACACCCGCATAAACCCTCGATAATTGCACCGCAATTGCTGCTGCTGATACAGGAAATCATGCATCCAAGATAGTCCAGGCTTATCGCTTGCTACACAGTCTGCATTCGAATCAAAATCCCTCGACGATAACGTAGGCTTCGGAACTGCGAGGCGTCCGCCGTATTCTCGGCGGTCTCCAGGGCTCAAGGTGATGCCATACTACAGCACACTAATTGAGGAGCAGACCGGTACGAGGGTGGAAATCCACACCCCACCCCCGCCGGTCCCACGAACCCAGGTCTTCGACGTTAGAAAGAACGCAGTCTGATTTATTTTCGGCAGACAGACCCTGATACGCGCTGTTTTCTCTCTGCACCGTTTCTCTTCAGAGCACAAAGACGCCGGTTTCATCACACGACGGTTATTGCTTTATGCCCCGCCACCCGGCTGGGAGCGTGAAAGGTGAAATGAATGCCAATGCGCAGAGATTCATCACTCAGGCTTCCCCTGCATTTTTCCAGGAAATTCCAACAAGTCCTTGGCGCACGGTTCAACACGCGCCCCCCAAGCCAAAACCGCTTCGTCACACCCAAAAACACCCTTCTCAACAATGTTAATACCTACCCTTACAGTCGATCTGACGATGGTGCGAACGATGTTTTGTCAGCACCTGTTTTGGGATTCGATCGTCCAAAACCTCGCTCTCCAACCCGCACGGGGCAAGCTCGTGCGTTTTCCTTCAAGTGAACCAATCATCTATCTACTCTCGTCGACCATCAGCGCGAGAAAATTGCGGTGACCACGCCGCCTTTTTCAATGTCAGAATGAGAAGATGGTCGGCTACCGCTGCCGCAAGTCTCGTAGATATACTCTCGAAGCCTGCGTGGGGAAGGGCGAACGGAAGGCATGTTGTTGTTGTTGCTGTGTTGTCTTCACAATAAAAACCGTCCCGGTCTCTATCCCGTACCTCCATCTGTCCGTAATGATGTTTAATTTTCGGCATTTCAGTACTTGCAGATGTACGTGTGCATGTGTTTGTCACTACTGTACATTGGCCACGTCAGTGAGTGCTTCAGCGCATACAAGTCTCCTAAACAGGATTCCATGACTCGGCAATGCCCAGGATGACAGGAAATACTCCTGGAAACCCTGCGGGGGAAAAACACACTACAGATCTATGCGAGCCCTCGCCAGACCGTGCTAACGGGAGCCACCATCGGAAATGCAAAATGCTGACAGCCGAAAGGGGGTAGAGTGTATGCGTATGTGTAGTTATTTCGTTGGAGTCACCCGCCCTACGAAAAGGCATGGGCTTCCCTGGGGCGAACCCCCCCCCAGTAAAAACGCACCAACTCAGCTTTGCGTAAACTATTTGGCGTGCCCATCTACCGATCCAACAGACTCCCCTAGTGAAGTACACGCCACTCTCTGTGGTGAACGTGTGTGCCGAGAGTTTACTTCAGCAAGCAGTGTGTGGTTTTGTGGTTGCCAGTGGGGAACCTGGCTTGCTCGGGTTCTTGCTTCCACACAGAGATATGTTGCCAACGATTCAGTCCGTGTCGTTGTGCTTGGTCAGGCTAACTGAAAGACAGTGTGTTTTCTGCTGTCGCGATTGGTATTTGCGCCGAGTCAGGGACCCTCTCGATAAAAACTCATGTACCACATCCACGATAAACGCCAGTATGCACGTGACAAAGAGTGCGCTGCTAAATAGCGCCGTCGAAATGGTTCGAACACCACACGAAAAAAATAAAAAAGAGCCGATTCCCATCGAACAACACGACAGCTCGATGGAGGAGGACGCAGCAATGGCGCTTTCGGCACAGGTGTCTCGTGACCGAGCAGATCGTGCTCTTTCACGGTGGAACGGGGGTGAGTGGTGTTTTATCGGTAAAGAAAAAAAACGGACCGGCTAAGCCCGGAGGAAGGAACACTCGGCACAACGACAATCGATCGTTTTCGACGCCGCACCTGAACACGCAGTAGTGGATCAAGCCTCCTAGCGGGACTAGCACGAAGGCGACCACCGCGGCGAAGGCGGCCGAGTTGCCGACGCTCTCCCCCCAGTCCATCTGGCCGTAGATGACCCTCTCGTCCTCGGGGGCGGTCAGGAAGAAAATTATGTTGAAGGCCACATACACGATCGAGAACGAGAAGGAGGCCAACATCTGCTTTCGCTCGAACTTCGTCGCCACCAAGAGCTGGTCGATCGCCTGTCGATTTCAATCGGGGCACAACAACAGACAGCACGCGTGCATGCCGAGAGATGGAGAAAGTGACAATCAGCTCCGTTCCGTGATTTTGGGCGTTTAGCTTAGGGTAGCCGCAAGGAACGATCGATCGCGAGGGCAGTTTCACTTGCTGGGACCGTACGTCGCTGCTGGAAGTACTCGTGCGATGGGGGAAAGACCGAACCACATGTACATTGCGCATGGAACGTGTGAGAGCGATTCCTCCCCTCCCCAAGTAAGGAGTTGTTTAAACGGGCAGGCAGGATCAAGGAATGACATGGCTTTGGTGCTCTCAGACGGTAAGGTCGAGTTGGCTAGTGGACCATCGGACAAAAAGGAGGTGACAGCCAGGAGAGAACGCCGATTCCCCATCTTCCTTGCTGCATCAAGAGCAAATATGAAGTCCCAGGCTCCTCACCGATTCAGCACGAGATACAAAACATCCTTCGTTTATCCACCGTCCTGCTTTGAACTTCTGCCCCCACTCACCATGATAGGGGCGATGAGAATGTGAGCGTTTACGTCGGTGGACGTCAGCGGGGTGTTGTCGAACTGCGAGATTGAAGACAAGAAAGGAACAAGGAGGGAGTGGCAATCCGTTGAAGGTTAGGGGTATCCCCGTCACGAAGCGGTAGAAGGTGTCCCAAAGAAGAGAGATGGACGATGCCCCTAGGAGGGGGGTATGTGAAAAAATATGGAAAGAGGCGGTGTGTTTCTAAATGATGTGGCGGTCATACAAAGAAAGCGTATACGCTCCGGACAAAGTAACCCGTCGACAAGTCGGATATGTTCTACCAGACTGACACGCTTTTCCAGTTACACCTGAAAGGGGCGCGCCATGCATCAAAGCTGTCTACGTTAGAATTTTGAAACTGCACATTTGGCATCTCAAGGGTGCGTGCATGCATTCCAAAATGAAAAATCCATGATCGACATCTAAACGGTGCTAGCACGCACCCTGCCGGATGACCGACTACAGTGCACAGCGTCGACTCACGAGGGCCACCCAGAACACCGTCACGATAACCAGAGACCCAACACAGGCCACGTTCCAGGAGAAGACCTGAAAGCCAAGGAGGGCCCGCCTGTTGCTTGACAAAGGTTGGTTCCGGTTCCCGCGATGCGGCGTAACAGCGTGCGTCCCTCGAACCGGGCCGTCGGAAGCCATCGGGGAGCCTAAGAAGGAGTATGCCGTTGCCGTCGACACCAAAAAATCTGCGGCGGAATGAAAGGGTTTGTTCCCGAGCGAGGACATTGCGCGAAGGTGGGGCGCGGCGAACAACGAAATTTCTAACAAAATGTTGTTCAAGCAGTCTCTAGCTCCTGTGGCGTTGGGTGTAAGATGCCACTGCTGTTTGCGTGCGCACACGGGCCTCCGCAGTTCCAGGCGCTGTATTCGTTTTGTGTGACCAGATGTTTGGAACCAGGTATGCGGATACATGGTTCGGCAGCAAACTCTCCTCTCGGTAAATTTCGTCATCGCCCAAAGTCTACAGCTGTGCCCTTTCGGTGTGTAATGAGTACCGCGCCCTATTGCATTGATGCCAGAGTAGTATCATACGGCCAGCAGCGTGGTGCTGGCCCCTTGGAACACCAACTACATGTTCTCATCGACCGAGCCATTCCTTCCCATCAAGGCGAGGTTCTCATCCGAATCATGACTGTCAAAGCAGAGTTCGCACAATTTGTAGCAAAAGACCACTTGCTGCGCAATCAAGCTTATACACTCGCAGGGGATGGAAGGAATCGTCGCCCAACTCGCACCGACACGTCATGTAGCAGCATAATAGTGAGCCATGCAACTATCAGAAAAGAAGATAACTAAAGGAAACTAAGTAAGGTCAAACTAGGACAGCAGTTACACCAGCGGCCCGCCCGACCCGCCATGGTGTGATTAACAGCGCTTCTCGCGAGCTCAACTTCGCGACATGGACATGAGGCGAGAGCGTAGAAACCTTTCGACTTCCCTGGCTGGATGTTCGAATCATCGGGCGGATGATCCTCGCCCTTGTAGCTTGCAAAACCCACCGGACAATGATCTCACACGGATTATAGCCATGCCGCGCAATGCCCCACCCACATACACAGTCCACTTACAGACTGCAGCCATGTACCACCCCCAGTAGGTGACGAACTTGTGGGCATCATCGATATCTTCCCCGAACGGCCAAAAGAAGCACCAAAACACAAAATAGATGGTTGCGATAACCTTGTAGCAGAAGAAGCTTCGCTGGGACAGGAACCGAGAGGTCACCGCTCGAATGGGGTCCTGGGGAACAGTTGTTCAGAGAACAGAATAGTACGCCGGGGGGGGGGGGGGCGAGGTTGACAACGAATGCTTGTTCTCCTGGAAAGTTCGCTACATACAAAATTACATGGGCAAACGACAACGAAGATGGAAAATCCCAAAAAGACGGAAAAGATGCGGGAATACTTGGTGGGGTGGCCTCTTCGGGATCTCCAGGGTGTTAATTTGAAGGCACGTATGTGTGCATATCTGCATTACACACCTGTCTCTACAGAAAATGGGCTTCGTAGCTCTGCTTCCGAAAAGGTCAAATGGGCACCAGACTGCTAGCATCCTTGCACAGGTGTCGTTCGGTTTTCCATGCTCGAAATGTACTTGGAATTTACCCCATGTCCCCTATGGACGTGTTGCAGTGCAATAATAGCCTTTCTTCTCGAGTGGTGGAACTACTGCCATACTCACTCTCTTCTGTAAGTACGTCCTCTCGTTTACATGTCAGTCGTAAATCAACATCTTAGAAGTTTTCCTGTGCCCACGGAATTCATATTTATTTTCAGTTTTTACATACATACATGTGGATACAAACATGGATGGGTAGAGTTCAGAACGCAAGATATCGAATACATTTACACGTCGAAGCATGGATTGAACGTGCAAGACAACAATCATAGTGAGATCCCAAGGTGTCCTGCTGTAGACGCATACAAGATTCATTTACAGAGACTAATGTTTACAGCCAGCAATCATGATGGGCACTGCTGAAGGTACAGAGTCTTGACGCACCTTTTACAAAACCAACCGCGCTTGATGTGCGTGCCTATTTACTGCATAAAACGCGGTTGAGTGCGTGCCACCACGACGGCGTGCGCTTGACGCCCGCAAGCAGGAAACAGGCCACAATCCACGTACAGACTACCTACGCGTACCGCCTATATCAAAAAGCTTTGCACCTCTTAGAAATTCACATAAAGAAATCACTGAAAGACTGGCCTACCCGTTCCAGAAAAATACGAAAAGTACGTGAAATCTTAATCTTTCACAGCAGTGGATCAGAAATTGCGTCGCCTACCTACTACATTGCGGCGAACTGGTCGCTACATCCCCATCGCCGGCGGGCGCCCATCAATCATCATCGATGATGACCTTTGCATTGTCGCGAAAAAGGTAGTGTTGACGTTGTCTAGAAGCATTGTCTTGTCTCAACTCCACCTGGCGTCAATCAATGGCGCCCGGATTTCCTCCCTACAAATCCCGCTGAGGCACTTCGCGCCACACCGCTGGTTGAGTTAAGGAATAATAAAAACACACACAGAAAGACTACCCATTCGAGATATACCCACAGTCGAACGGGATGTGGTGGAGTCTTTTCAGTGAGTGGAGGGAAACCGGCTGGGTACTGGACTTATTTCGAGTCTTTTTAAGTCTATACACTGATGATTTATACCAGACCAGTGATGCCAGCTGGTGCTAAGTATAAAAACATCTGTATAGGTAACTTACATTTTACAATACATCCCCTGTAGTTTTCTACTGGGTCAACGACAAGATATCGGGGAGAAACCCTCCGTTGTGTCGTGTACTGTAAAATGTAACCTTCACAGGGGACACGGCGCAGTGTCTATTGACAGCTTGCTGGTTTATCAGACATATTAGGAATAATATTGTAAAAATCATGGAAGGTGGGTGGAACGAAGTCTACAGCAGCAGTATACTATACATCACTCGTTTTTCAAATCTACAGATTTTTGAATTTCACGGACAGCAGGTGTTTCCCGCCGTTTTTTTGAATTTACAAATCGTTTTTGATCCTTCGGGGTAAAACGCATCAGGGATGTTTATACAGCAGTAGATGAGAATGGTATACCTGGTGCTGTTGTGCTGTTCCAAAAACCCAAAAGGTTGTTCGTTGTTCGTGGTTAATTCCGCCGCAGCGGACCCGAACAAATCACAAATCACCGATTAGCGGTGGCGGGTCTGATAGCTGGCTTCTATGTTTACATGTTTATATCGACCATATATGTATCAGCAAGAACACGGTCTGATATATCTATGCATACCAGCAAGCACGCGGTCGTCGGCAAGCGGACACGCCGACAACTGCTGTGTGCGTGCGTTGCTCTCTACGCTACACCACAGCCGTGACGCATGTATGGAGTGTGTAGCGGAAACAACAGCAGGGATTACCACGGAACGACCGACCTGTGTGGCACTCACATTGGGCTCTAGGCACGTGAAGCAGCAGCAGCAGCAGCAGCAAGACGAACCCATAGAGGGTAGATGTTATGGATAGCAATGGCTCTTGTTTTGATTTCGGAGGGAGACAGGAGATGAGGTGTGAGCTAAATACTGCTTGCGACAGTACCACCCTTTTTTTTTTTCGTCGAATTTTCCTGGAAATTTCGCGTGGGTCGGTCGGGGAGATGCATTGCATATGAAGTACAGAAGGCGCCAACGTCGCCAGCCTCGTGTCCTGGGCCCAGGATCGTCCGGCAAATCACCCACAATGTCTTGTATCTTTCTACAAAATATGCTATCTTTCCTACACATCAGCCCTCGGTAGTCTCTCACACAGCCGGTCGGGTGTCTGTCTGGGCCGCAGATTCCATGGGGGGGGCGTCTTGTCCGAGACTCGTATACATGCAAATGCATGTGTAGTCGTATGTATGTGTAGTAAGCAACAACTACCGGGTACGCCTCGAAGGAATCTAGACCATGCATACAAATATCCCTGTTTTCACACGCGAGAGACGCACACCGAAGTTCCGCGCAAGCCCGGTAGCCGGAACCTGTGCGTGTGCGTGCTTGTGTGTTTTACTAGCAACCTCGACCGCGTTCACCGGTTCAACAAAAAAAGACCAGTGTAGAGCACAAGCTTGCGAGAGTGATGACGCATCATCATCGCGGGCAGAAAGTCAGCCAAGAGGACAAAAATAGAATCATCTCATTCTTACTACCAGTATCTCTGTGCGTGTGCAAGACTACAAAGCTATTATAGGCACAACATGCACATATACCGCCATGACCACTGGTGCTTGGTATTGAAACGCAAGATCCATACAGCAGCACATATGAATATGCACAGCATCATACAGCAATACAACAAGCATACAAGCGAAGAGCACTTGTTTGTCTTCCAAACCGAAACAAGGCCCAGGCGAACCTTGAAGCAACAGAGAGCTACTTCGTGCAGACGCGCCGCGAACGACCTATCTTGGAAGATTGCCGGCCGACAATCGGCGAAGATACACAGCGTACAACGAGAAGCAAGACTGGTGACTTTGGCCAGCATATTGCTCTTGCGGCTCACTCTCGCTCTGTGGCCGCATTTTTACGAGGTGCACGCATACCAACCAACAAACAGAACGCAAAATGAACACTAACTTCGACACAGACCGAACCGTTTCACGAACCGTCATTTCTTTCCACCACATCACCCTCAGACCTCGCCCGTGTCAACTATAAGGAAACCACAGGCAGCATTGCGGGAGGGCACTGCGCGGCCAAAACTCGTGCACACGCGCCAAAGTATGTCTCATCATGGAAAAAAGGGGTAAACTCAAGGCTGCCATGATGTACTAATGTGTCTTCGTCACACTTCATTCAGGAGCCGAGGGGCAGCGGCTCTCTCGACACCATGCATGGAAAACATCCAAGAGGAGAGCCATGGATCGCAGTAGTACCGAATCATCGGTCCGCCTCTCTTTGTACTCTGGTTCCGCTGATCTCCATCTTCTGCACCGTGCAGCAGTACCCGTAGTGGATTGTCTGCAACGGTGCTACTCTAGTCTAATAAAATTTGCACTATTATACTAACAAATACAGTGTTCGCACATCGTGCCAACGGATTAAGCAGCAAGGAGCATTTACTACAAGCTCATACCTGCCAAAATTCGCCACACCCGAAAATATGTCGGCGCCCGCTGCGATAAGATGGTCGGGCTTCCACAAACTGCACCCTAGAAAACGCTGCACCACTGCCTCGCCAAAAACTAATACATTTTCCGTTAGCGACGTCCTCGGATAACTCTTTTCCACACAAAGCGATCGATCCAGCCCGGCAGCACACGCGAGAGCGCGTCGTAGCCAACGCCTCCACGACGACGATAACCAAACAGATCTTCATGTCTGGGAAAAGCGTCTACTGGTTTACCCCATGCCACGACAAAAACGAGCCCACCGAATCACCCCCATAAAAAGGAGGAGCAGGAACTTGCCCGGTCCCATCAGACGGTCTCGATAGCGGCAAGGTCGGTACCCGTCTGTGGCACGTGAGACGTTACCGACTCCGACTGTGTGCTGCTTCCTCCGTCCTCCGCGCTAAGAAGGCGGTCGTTCAGCACGCCGGATGACGCTTCCGCCCTCTGCCTGCAAGTGGCATAGATGGACTCCCTCAACCTGGGGGCATAAGGGGGGGCCGGTGGATGTGGAGCAAGACGCAACCGGGGGGTTCGAAAAAACGAAAACCTGAAACACAGATGAGGGAATAGCTCTAGCGTTTGGTACGCGCGCACCCCTCTAAATGGGCGAAAGGTGAGGAGGTTCTCCCGGCAAGGTATGCTTTCGCGGCAATGGCGTTAACCCCTTTGGGTCTAGCTTTAATTTTATTTTTCGACCAAAACAAAAAAACAGGCGGGAGACAGCGCGGAGGGAGAGAGAAGTGCAGCAAAAGAGACAACCGCTGTACTTGTGTACATGCAACGGCTATCTCCACCTAAAGGCCATGAGGGCAGCCCGCGACAGGGTGGTGACCACAGACAGGATCATAGAGAGGTTGATGGGTGGTCTCGGTGCGGCCGGTAGGGCAGGCCAGCCTTGTAGGCCTTGAAATGATTGGTCGTCAAGCTGCCTAATCTACTCTAGTTTCAGGATCATAAAATGATCTATGAAAGGGCTTGTAGACCTTAGCCGGTATCTGTACTTCTGTACTTTGCCCCCCCCCATTGTGAGCCAAGCTTATGGTCAAATTCAGGACCGGGGACATAGACCTTCGAGAACGTCGACGAAGACATACGACGGTAGACGACGAAGACGACAGTTTAAATGTGATTGCGGCTTCGAATGCGAAGACCGTGTTCATGTAGTCGCGGAATGTCCGTGGTACGAAGAGGAGAGCGAAGTGTACATGACTGAGCTGGGAAAAATGCAAGGGACGTACAGGAAGATGTTTGAGGCATGGAATAGAGAGGAGAGGACGGTAGCTGTAATGGGGAGTAGGAAGTGGTTTGAAAAGGCGGGAAGGGATATCGTTAGGATAGACAGACTAGGGAAGACATTTTTGAGCCACGTTTGGCAAAGTAGGAAGGAACGATTGACCATCGGTGATCGGTCCTGTGGGAACAATGCTCCGTCCTCTCGAGGACGCGTGGTCAATGGTCTAACCGCTAAGGCATGCAAAACATAAGACTACGCCCCCCCCATTGTGAGCCTTGACTACGGCATGCACGGCTATGAGTACACCCCCCTAGTGTGAGCCCTGCCGGGTCACTAGAGCTCCGGTGTTTTTTCCACAAGTATAACAGCACATGCCGACCTTCTCATAAATGGCTCCCTAGGTTCGGGCGAGGGTAAATGCGGAGCGATGATGGTTGTGTACATACGCCCTGCTATTTGTTGGACTCGTCTGTACTGCTGCTGTGTAGTGTAGCTGCTGACACGAGGACTGCCGGATCTTGGGAATGTACGATGATCAAATTTGGAGATGCGGCATACCAGGATATCCTGGCTTGGCTGGGCTTGAAATACCCTGTTTGCTGCCCTCCGCTCTTTGCATTTCAGTGGCTTCGTAGATCCGGGTGAGGGCATGTGTGTGGAGGTATGACGTGTGTCTTTGTGATAAGATAATTTGTTAGAGAGATTGACTGCTGTGGCATTCGCATTTAGCGCATTATGCATTTCCCGAATTTTGGTACCCTGTCGGGGACCTTGATTTTTTACCCGCTGGCACGTCTGTTACATGGTCACCGGTGAGCTCGGTTGATGCTAATAATCAAGATACACCTATGGACCTGCCAATACCTGGAGCGAAGGGATACAGAGCGGAAACTCCATGGCATACCAACACACCAGCAATGCCAATGATCTATCAATGATTTATCAGTACGCCCGGAGACCAAAAAGGGTTAGGACAATCCGAAGGTCGAGTGCTCCCATCAAACGTGTTACAGAGTGCTAGAACCCTTCGGTTCGTCAGCTGCCACTGCGACGGAAGAAACACATAACAAACAGCCCGCTCCCCAACAGAAATGCCCCCAAGTACTAGATTACACGTCCAGGTATCCCCGCGAGACGTTCGTTTACGTTCTACTGTACCGGAAAGCAACAGAAAACAATCCTCGAAATTTGACATCCTCACAGGTGAATGACCATCTGAACCGGGGACTGGGGGAGGGAAAATACGGTGCGGGAAAAAGAAAAGAATCTTGCTATACAATGTAATACTTAAGCTAAATCAAACGTCGCAGGCAAAACCGTACCTGAAAATGTAATAGTGAAGGACGCTTGTCGCCGGTATCAAAACAAAGATCCCTGCCACCGAGTACGAGAAGGCCTCCCAAAAGTGCCGGTCCCAGTCGAGGATGACGTAGATCAACTCTTGCTCGAGAAAGTACCAGAGCAAGCTGTAGACGAGATACGTAATCGCGAATACTTCCGCCTTCCACATATCTCGGATCCGGAATGGTGTGGCCACGAGCATCTGGTCCGCCACCTGGGGGCACCATCACCGTGGGCCGGAGAAGTCAAAACATGTCAGCCTCGGGGTGGGGGATATGCCGGGCGGTAGTGCCAACTGCTGTTGCTCATGGTGCTGCCACGTTTGTGTGTAACTGCTGCTAGTGGCAGCGGTGTGCTTTCTCTCTCCCTGTGGTATCCAGCGGAGATGACGTTTCCGTGTCCGAAAAAAAAAAAAAAACGGAGAGAGAATGGGGATAGCTGCCAAACACCGGCCGTCGTGATTCACACGACATTCCATGGGCGGCGCTACGTCCTGCGGGCCAAAAAGCAAACCCGATCTGCCAACGCATCGCCAAAAAAACTCAGGTAAAAACATATACAGCAGTCGTCCATCGGTTAAGGACAAACATTCTTTATGACATTCCCCCGCTTCAGGACACCTTTTTTTGTTCACGGACGGACATGATGTCCTGCAAGATGTGTAACGCAAGGGGGTGTATCAATCTTAAGGACACTTCCCTGGCTAAAGGAAACCTGCTATACCGAAAAACAATGTGTGTCCTTAACTGAGGGACGACTCTACTACATGTGATGGGGCCTGCCGCCGCGTGTACTTCCGCGGCGCGAGACACATGGGCTACTGAATAACACTCACGGCGCCGGTGTCAGCTGGGAAAGGTAAAAGACACAAACGTTCGAACGGAACATTGAACTCACCATGACGAAAGCAATGAGGGTGTGAGCGTTCATGTCCACTGATGTGATCGGTGTCCCGGTGTACTGCGGCAGCGTACAGAGCGGGCAACATCAGGCAACGCCAGGCATGATCGCGGAAACAAGGTTAAGAAGGATCAGGGACCGACGGAAAACCATGAGTCACGACGGGGACTCATTTCTCGCACATTTCGTTGCAACAGGCGGCGTTGACACAATCGTAACAAAGACCGACCGTCAGCCAGGTGGGTACACGAAATTTTGACGGAGGAATAAATGCTGTCATCTTCCCCACACCAGGCGTTTCGATACCGGTCATGGGTACCCAAAAACTAGTGAGCAAACGTTGGGACTATGCATACGATGAGACCAATATCGTTGCACTGCGGTAAGACGGGCGCTGGAATTGCGCCCACCACGCTCTTGACAAGGAGAGCATCCAGGCTCCTCTATCTACTGCTGTCGTGCTCCTCTAGTGATCCAAGATTCCCCGCAGGGGCGTTCTCGATGGTTTCGCTCTGCAGCGAGAGTGTGCCTTCAAAACTCAAAAAGGGTCGCCCGACCCTATGGCCTTTTCGCCTCTCTGCCAGTCAGTCTATCGTAGTGTGCCTTGGCTCTCTGTATTTGATCCCCCCTGTCATCCAGTACCCCCTTCGACCCCGAACGCCCAATCCCAAGCGCCTAACGGACAGAACCACAAGCAAATCGTTCCTGCAGCCGCCCACCCACACGGGCGCCCCATTGGCGGGGAGAGCCACAACATCAGAGGGCACAAAGACGAGGGTAAAGATCGGGCCAAAAACCCACTCGTGGTATATACAACCCAAGGTTCACACCTCTAGGTGCTGGGGTTTGTGGAACGCGGATTTGTTCGCGCTGACGCATCGCTTGCTTTGGTAATTCCTCGGGGCAAGAGTCGATCTACAGCAGTACGCCATCCTCGACCGGGACCGAAATTTTTGGGGAGGCCATCTCTTGTACTCCGCGTTTGGAAATCTCTCCCGCCCCCCCGGGACCGTGGCTTCTCATCTCACCAGAGAGCTCCAGTATATGATAGCGACGAACAACGACCCAAGGCAAGCGACGTTCCAGGTAAAAAGCTGAATCGCCAACACTGCCTGCTCCAAGGGGTGAATCCGCGTCCGCAGCGCCGGGGTCGAAACATCCCCGGTAAGGTTGCTCCACGAAGGCCCGGGCCGGTCACTCCCCCCCCCCGCACTCCCGTTATCGGGCGCCCGTGCTTGTGTCGCCGCGGACCATCGTCTGAAGTGCGCGCACGCGGTGGCGAACGAGAGGGCGAAGTCTGCGAACGGGGAGGACAAAGAGATGGGTCGGGTTCGCCCTCGGTGGTCAGTGGCGGGAACGGTGGGCGGCTCATCGTGAGTGTCACGGCTGCACAATTGTAGTGAGATCGGTCTGCGGGGTGCATAAAGACAGCGGCTGATCTGATCAACACGCTGCAGATGGTGCTTGTGGCCAAATCTTGGCAGATGATGTTTGACCACCTCTCTCTCGCGTCGTCGCTGCATGTCATCAGGGGGAAGCATCATCCTTTGTCGCCACTGGTCCGCTCCCCGCGGAAACAAGGCCACATTGGAGGCTCACTTTGCTCGGCCTCAAAGCCAAGCGAAAAATGTTCGGGGTGAAACAGCAACCAAGAGGATTGTTCGCCCTCTGTTGTTGAGGTTCAACGCGGGGCGCGGCCTTACATGGTGGGTTCACGAAAAAGCGACCAGCACCGCCTTTTTTCTCGGTGCTACCCAGAGCGTATGAAGGGAGAAGTGAGGCTACGCTACGCTGGGTTGGTACCCGACGATCTGTTGAAAAAATGGGCGAAAACGCTGACTACTCGAACTAACACAACACAGGGACAAGACGGACGGGACGCACAGACAGGCAGACGTGAAGGGACCAAAATAGGAGGCTGTCGTATACAAAAAAAACGGAAAGCAACCGTTAGAGCTAGTTGAAAGAGAGAGTCAACAGCAGCAGCATCGCACTTACATGCAGTTCCCGTGTACCACACCCAGTAAGTGGCGAACAAGTACATGCTGGTGTAATCCAGAGGCCACAGGAAGCACCAAATTAGGAAATACGCCACGAACAGCCCCTGCACACAGGAGCGTCGCCGGGCCGGGCAAGGACGACGTGGGATTCCGCGGGGTGTGGGAGGGGGAGGGGGGGATGCAGAATGGGCTTCCAGCTTCAACAGAAAGGGGGAGCCAATCGAAGAAGTTACTCTGTTGCTGGACAGCTAAGAGTCCCTTGGGCTGGGCTCCAGTTACTGTATCGTTTTCCCTTCCAACCCCCCGGTATGGGTAGCGCTTGAGAGTTCTTGCCCCGTACAACAGCAGCAGGGCAAAAACTCCCGAGACCCGAACATCCGATCTGTGGCAGATGGTCCGCTCCCCGCGGAAACAAGGCCACATTGGAGACTCACTTTGCTCGGCCTCAAAGCCAAGCGAACAATGTTCGGGGTGAAACAGCAACCAAGAGGATTGCTCGCCCTCTGTTGTTGAGGTTCAACGCGGGGCGCGGCCTTACATGGTGGGTTCACAAAAAAGGACACGAAAAATCTGTGCTATTGTTAACCCTGTCTGGGTCTAGGACCCGCTGAAGGAGTGATCAGTCCCGGGTACACAAACAGCAGTGTAGTGCTACTTTACCGCACGAAACGCTGCTGTGGCGGTCAGTGCAGGGTGCAGGGAACGAGGAACGAGGAACAACTTTATTTCACGCCAGGCTCGACATACGAGGACACATCAACTTCCTCCTCCCTTCTGACACGTGCATCGACCGTCTCCAATCCTCGAATTGGTCTGTGAGGTAGATACAGCAGTAAGTTCCTCCCCACGATTTAGCACGCACCTTGAATGCTACAAAGGGGCCTGGCTTGAGGAATCGCGAAGTCGCGGCGCGGAGAGCCAGCTTCAGCAGAGGCGACGGGTAAAACGAGCAAAAAACGTATTGTATGAGACACATTTACATTTGTCAGCAAAACTTGGAGAGGTAGACTACTGCCCAACGCGAGAAGAGAGGGCACAACCAAACTACAGCAGTATTGGTGCACCACGTATGTATATTATAGTAGGGTTGTTCGCGATGCTTTTGGCCGCGACAAAATTCCGGAGAGATGTATGTTGCACAAGATACCACCCCCCCCCCCTTGGGCCAATTTTGCAACAAGGTGAAACACTCTGGAGCAACATAAATGACGGTGTCGCAAATGGTGGCGTTGGAACCGTCTGGTCGAGAGCATTCCAAAGACGTCTTCATTAGAATTTGGCATCGCCTTCACTACTGCTTGGAGTACTCTCAAGCTTCTAAAATCGGTCGAGTACGGAGCTACTCCGCATGATACGAACACACATTTACAACAGGAGGGCGCGGGGCCGCACTGCTTTACAGCAGTCCCGAAAAGGCGCCTTGCGTGCGCCCTGACAACGACAGTAGAGAGCGAACGCGGAGAACACAAAACCAACGACTCTTTTGCAAAAAGCGCAAGGTCAGCGCCTCTGGATGACTCGCAAAGAGGTCCTAGGCTTTCTTTCTCCCCACGTGCGACGAGGCAGCAGGCGGAGCCTTTCTCCACCTTGGCACCGATATATATGGTATGCAGGGAGGACACGGCACAGCAGCAAGCATTCCACACGCTTCGCTTGCCCGCCTATCGACCGTTCGCACGCCAGCGGAGGACTGGCATATACTGATGCTGCTGCTGTTGCTCGCCTTGTATAAGGTAGACAGCAGGACAGAGTGCTGGGCAGCTACATCACTGCTTTCCCATGGAAATGACAGAGAAAGGGAGGCACGTTCACAAGCACGCATGCATGTACATTCGTGATGCGACAAAACCGTCCGACACACCATTCTCTTGAGTTTCCGTTTTTGGGTCACGAGTCCACCTGTGAAAATTAAAGACGTCGCAGGACCGCATTTGCTGCTGACCTTACAGAGTTGCATGGGGAACCTGCATGCGACATCGGCTTGTTCATTGTTCGCTGCAACGACGACAAACGAGCCCGGCGCACTCTATCGGTAAGCGGCCCGCTGCTTCTGTCCTCCCTTGCGCGCGTTCGACTCACATCCGGCGCAGTAACCGAGCAGCATCCCATGATGCAGGAACGCTGCTCCTGCACGGCACACTAGCGAATCCTCCGCCTTCCAAACGTGTTGCGCACGCCTCTCTGAAGACAGCCGGAAAGAAGATCGTCAGTCTGCACCGAATTATAAACCGCACCAGCAGACGACTGGACGACCTACCAGCGCATTTCAGAGAAAGGGGCTCCGCATATTCGAGCGGATTTTTGTTGTTGGCGTAGGATACTGCTCATCATCATGTCAGTTGGTTATTTTTCGCCGCGGAGAGGCGCACACCGAAGTTCCACGCAAGCCCTACACAGCCCGAACTGCTTGTGCTTGTGCATGCATGTATGTTTTACTAGCAATCTCGACCGCGTCCACTGGTTGAACGAAGAGGACCAGTGTAGTAGAGCACAAAATTGCAAGTGATGATGTGCATCATCATCGCGGGAAGAAAGCCAGCCTGTAGAGGACAACAATACTGGTGTGCATGTAGAATCATCCCATTTTTACACAGTCTTTCTATTTTGTGTACAACATGGCAACATAACAAGACTACAAGGCATAGTATGCACATGATACACCTATGAACACTGGTACTTGGTATTGAAACACACATACGTACGTGCAAGGCAATTCTTCAGGATCCATATGCATACAACTGACTGACCAAATGATGGGAAACGACATCTATATTTTTTTTATTTGCCGACGTTGGAGAGGCACATTCTTGTGGGGTGTAACCGCCGTTTACATTTTTCTGGAAATCCTTCACATACAGCAGTAGTCATGTAATCATGTCGACATATCCTCTTCCTATCGACCGACTCACGTAGCATCGCACGTAGTCCTTGTGCGTACGTACGCGTGTACACGGTGTGCGTACAAATGTTTTCATCTTGAGTGGACCAACGCGCGACAAAGATACAGAGACGACGGAGATGGAGCTTGACCCAAGCAGTGTGACACCAGTCGCGGTTAAAGGTTCTTCATTTAGTCTAAACAGCGAAGCGAGACGACCACCAGGGCAACTGCTGCTGCTGCTGTAGTGAGCGTGAGAACTGGAAAATGGGGAACTACGTGTACCGTCCAGTTCACCCTACGGATCAAGAGCCCGGACCGTCTGAACGAAAACCAGCACCGATGTCGGCGGCACCTTGGCGTGTACTGGGCCGCGTAGCTGGAGGATTCGCTCTACAGCTTCTGAGCGTCTACACCAGCATCTCTATCTTCGTCAAAGACACAAGCTACCTCTGGACGGGTATGGCCATCACCGCGGGACTCCTGTTCAGCACACCCGCCGAATGCCGCCTGGAGCGTTTTGCCCACGTGTTCTCTGGCGCTCTGGCATACTATCTCCTAGACTTCCACTACGATCGCTTTCCGACCGGCCTGGTTGTGTCCGTGGCTCTCTGCAACGCACTGGGATGTGTGGTCGGCGAACACTGCTTTAGGCGAGTATTCCCCAGAACTCCGATGACACCCCGAGATATCGAGCAACTCAAGTTCCTTGGCGCGCTAATGCTTTTCCCGGTGTTTGTTGGGAGCTTGGCGGCGAGTGTGCCGGGAAGCGTGGCCTTTCGTTTGTATTTTGGGGCCAACCTGTGGAAGGTGTTTGTCAACTATACCGTGGGTCATATCTCAGGAACGACGGTGGTATTGTACCCGACGATGGTTCTCCCGGCGTTGTGGAGCAGCAAGCAGCCGATTCAGCCAGCTATGGTTTTAGGCCTTGCTGGTGTTGTCCTTATGTTCGCGTTTACGGGTTATGGGGTGTTTGCTTTCGGCGCTATCCTGGGAGCCTACGGTTCTATCGTAACCGTGAGCACCCAACTGGACCAGTGGAATGCGTGTCTCATGGGCGCTGTCGCTGCAGCGCTTATGCTAGGGCTAACCGTGGGAGGGAGAGGACCCTTCAACTCCGTATGCTACTTTGAAGAAGGAGCTAGAAACGTGATCCTGTCGACGCAACTTGCGACCACTGTCGCCACCGGTTGCAGTGCCTTCGTCAGCATCTCCTCGACTAGGTTGCGTAAACTCCAGACCCGCGAGAAAGCCTCTCTGGAAAGGGCGGAGAAGGTGATAGAGGCTCAGACAGTGCAACTCTGCAAGGTAGGGCATGACATGCTCAACAACAGCACCTTCATCTGGGGTGTGACCGAGAGCTTGGCGGACACCCTACCACCGACAGGGCAATCTGCTAGTCAGCTGAAGTCGATCCAAGCGGCAATCACAATGAGCGGCACGCTTGTGAAGGACATGATAGACTCCTTCAAGCCTGAAGGTCATGGGCGACCCGTACGCCGGACGGAGGTTGACGTGCAAGAGATGGCAGATTTGCATGTTAACTTCGCGAAGGCACTGGTTCGTATGGCAGGCAAGAGCATAGAAACGACGCTCGACAAGGGCACGACGGAGGGCGAGTTCAACGTGTTCACGGACAGGGACCGCTTGCATCAGATACTCGGCAACCTGGTCGGGAACGCGGTAAAATACACGAAGTCGGGGACGATTGTCCTGAGGGTCTCTCGCCAAGACGATTCGGGCAAAACCGGCAGCGTCATCCTTCAGGTAGTCGACACCGGCATCGGCATCGATGCGGAGGACATCCCCAAAGTCTTCGGAACCCTGTTCAGGTGCGCCAGGGGGGCTCAGTTGGCCCCAGGCTCGGGACTAGGACTCTCGAGCGTGCTGGACTTGTGCAAGCTCCTCGGGGCAAAAGTTGATGTAAAGAGCCCCGGAATCGACAAGGGAACCACAGTCACGCTCGAGTTGCCCATCGGCACCGATCCAACCAAGACAAATACGATGGACGCGGGCTTGGAGTGGACCCCGCCCGCTACCGGTTTCCGCGCTCTGGTCGTCGACGACTCGCTTGTCATCAGAGAGATGATGAAGCGGTGCTTGATCCGATTGGGCTGCGACGTTACTCCTCTCGGGTCGGGCGAGAAGGCCAAAGAGCACTTCCTCGCCAAGGGAGGCGCTATCGATGTTGTCATCACCGACATGTACATGGGACAAGGCCAATGCACCGGAGCGGATCTGATCTCAGGCATCCGCCAAGGTCGTCTACGCGGGGTGTCGAAGGACGTTCCGTGCATCCTGTGCAGCGGGCGGGAGGTTAAGATGGAAGAGTTCGGTGACAACACTCTGTTCATGTGGAAACCGTTCTCCGAGACTGACGTGTCTCACGCACTTCAGGTGATCACACAGAGGACCCCCTCGGACGAAAAAGCGTGAAAAGGCGTGCTAGTGCTGAGTAGACGCCGACGGCTGTGAAGGTTGAGATCGAGTTGAAGAAGTGGGCATGGTGCGTGGATTGCCAAATCGTTGTTTTTGTAGACTATTCGTTGCTTGTGAAACAATGGTCTTTACTGTTGTTGATGTATATATGCCTGACCGTAGTGCTGTTTAGGGTGGGGGGCGGTGGTCCTTGTCCTGATCTGGGGCCCGTTGATAAAGAAAAAACTCAAACAGTCGTGTGGGGCGAATTTTCTCTTATGTGTCCGTGGTTGAGAGAGGATAGGAGCGAATTGTGAACAGAGTGCTCCTGGCGAAAAACGCAAGACACCCTGTTGTGCTGCGTTAACTTGAGAGAGATAAAATAATCGTGTCATATACCGCAAAAAGATCAGTTCAGCACATAGAGAATGTTCTGAGCACACGCGTGGAGAGCTTTGCGATTGTGCGTTTCCTCCCCCTAACCACATTCTGTAAAATTCGATTTCCAGTGGTAGTCGGCCGTCCGCCGTTCGGCGGCGCGTGGGCGGTTGGTCATAGTTATAGGTGGGAGCAAGCCGAGACCGGACAGGAAAGGAAGGACGCGGGGGTGGGCCGGGGGGGAGGGTAGCAGGTTGTGCGAGGGAGACGAAGGGTATGGGAGGTGCGTTGGCATGTCGGACCCATTTTGGCATTTCTTCTGGTTGGTGAGCGATGTCAGGCCGGACTTGCTTCAACGCAAGTCATTTGCTGACCCCCGGTGCTGGGGCTCGACTTTCTGGGTGCTCGAGGGCGTCTCTGGCCGACCCAGGTGGGTGCGTCTGGTTCATGATTGGTAGTTGAACGTTTGCGCTTCGTACATGTGGATCGAATACTAAAAACCAGCCGACGTGTATTCATCCAGTACGTGGCGTGAAGGTAGACTACTCTTGTGTATTGAATGCGGCACACGTCTTCCACCGTTAGGTCAATAGAAGAAGATCTGACTAATGGAAGGAAGAGCCGGAAAGAGCGCCCGAATGTTGCCGCTATCTCTAGTCGGAGTGGGAACGGTGCCCCGGTAGAAAGAGACGAGGGCTGGCAACAAAAGCGTACCCCCCGCACACATGACATGTGGGCTATGGTGACACATGACGCGCAAGATGAATGAAGCGCGTATGATACTATTCTTCTTTGTTCGCCACGCCCCTACCGAATTGCAGGTGCGTAAGCAGATCAGAACTGGCGGCGGTGGAAGGGGCGTGAGCACTCCTGGAAAGAAAGCCTTGATGGATGCCCGGTTCTCCTCTTCGTGTGTATCACGTGCAGACCAGGTGCATCAATTGGGGGGGGTGGGGGTTCCGACTATGCATACGAGGTTTTGGAGTCTGCTCCTAGCACACCGGCTGCGCTCCAAGGCTATCCTCGAATGGTGCGCAACGTGAAGGAATGAGGTAGCAAGTAGCACAGACTCCTGTAATTTGATGGTGTACACCACGTTAGTGAAACTACAGCCTCGGCAAGCGCGGTACTATCAGGCTGGGGTGTTCCTTCTATTGATGATCTATAAATTGAGCAAAGATCGATGTTTAGTTTATTGGTGTGTTGAGGACGATACAGTATGATAATAGTACTCATAGGAGATTACATGTACACTCATTTTCTGTTTCAATGTCGGTTTTGAATTGTACCCGTCCGCTGTGCGTCTATATCGTGGGATTTTATCGATATACGCGTGCTGCTCGGGTTCAAGCAATTTGTTGTCGTTGCCGTGTCAAGTGTGCCCCGTTCGAGGGGGGGGTAAAATATTTTAGCTTAGGAATTTTGATCGTCGCGTATCTTGATTGTTTTGGCGTGTTGGCTCGATACTCGTCTCTCCATCCATCCTGACGGACTTTGAGCACCCGCCGAGGTGTGTTGACGTCGATTACTTCTATCCCCCCAGATAAAACGCAGTTTTTTTCATATGGCCGTGGGGCGACAGTAGTAGTCCTCAGCAAGACGTGGGTCATTTCTTTGTAAAGTGCAGCCTACAGAATGAAAGGCTCACTCGACCTGGTGGTGATTATGCTGAGTATGTATGTCCGGCTTTTCGTATCCAGGCCGAGGTTAGCTTGAAATTCCGGCACTATCTACAGATTGCGGGTTGCAATTCACGTCGCACATGATGAGCGCAATATCGAGAACATGCCTAGAGTAGGTTCATAGGAGAATACACTCGTTGCTGTTTCAATGTAGTCTTTTAGTTAGAATTGTACCCTTCCCCTGTGCGTCTATACCGTGGGATTTTAGCGATACATGCGTGCTGCTCGGGTTCAAGCAAGTTGTTGTCGTTGCCTTCGTGTCAAGTGTGCCCCGTTCACGGGGGGTTGAAATTTGTTGCTTGTGGGTTTTGATTGCGCGTATCTTGATTGTTTTGGCGTGTTGGCGCGATACTCGTCTCTCCATCCACGGGGGATCCTGACGGAATTTGAGCACCCACCGAGGTGTTGACGTTCGATGACTATTATCGCCGCCGATTAAACCTCAGGTTGTAACTTTTCGTATGCCCGTGGAGTCACAATAGTCCTCGGCAAGACGTGGGTCGTTTCTTCGTAAAATGCAGACTACCGAAGGAAAGGCTCTCTTTTGACCTGGTGGTGATCACACCGAGTGTGTCCGGCTCTTCGTATCCAGACCGGGGTTAGCTTGAAATTCCGGCACTGTCCAGGTTCGAGAATTGCGGGTTGAATTCACGTTGCAAATGATCGCAACATCGAGAGCGTTGTGAAGACGTGTGTCTCGCATGGCGGAGTCGTCTTAAGCACTCGGGTATCAGAGACCCCGTGCTGCACTCTCACTGCTGTGCACATTCACCCGGTGGGTCAATCCGCAAGTCGCCTTGTTGGCCTGTTGCTCATGAAAGTGCGGATCGTCTCTTTTGTATAGCATACATTCCACGCGCAACAAGAACCGATCCATGCGTACCAAACAAACGGCGGACAGACGCCCTTGAAATCAAAACGATTTTTCTTGAAGAAGCCACGCCAAACCTCACAAAACAGCAACCCACATGCAGAGCGTGAACGCCACGGTGCGATGAACAACGTGCATGCTCTATACCAGTACGGTACCCGCACAAGACACTAACACGCGACGTCACGCTAAACGCAATATACCAACAATCTGCCATAGACCTGCTTTCAACACGGCAACGCGCGCTGAGATGGATAGGTTTCACGCGGCGGAACTCTCTGGTCTTATCAGCAGATGTTTGACGCTTTCTTCGGCCGAGGACATTGGCGTGCAGCCATCATTGTCCGCGGCGTTCGCGTCCGCCCCGGCTTGCACCTGCTCCCGCACCAAAACAAAGCCGAGCGAATCACAAGACAGCAACGCAAAGCGACGCGGGGGTCAATCTACCGATGATACACCCATCTTGAAAGTCGCTTGACGTGCAGCGTGCGTGCTGTGCTGCAACGATCATCGAGCTTGTGGCGGCCTTTTCGGCGTGGGCACCGAACAATACATGTCTGCGTTTTGATGGACAGGAGATGAACACAAGCACTTGAGTTAAGGCCCACGAGACATTGCACAATTACATTTTTGAAGGCCTGAGCTGAACGGCGTCGCATCCAGAGCCCTGTACAAGGGCAGGCCTTTCTCCCCAGACAACAGCAGGTTCAAATTCGCTACCGGGAAGCCTTTGAATCACTTACGGGAGCAGCCACGCCAACACTGGGCGAGACCAGAGAACTAAAATTGATTTCCTCGACAGAGCAAGCGGGCGCGGAGAGGAAGGCTTGGTCGTCTCGAGCTAGGAAATGTGTGCCACGCCCAACGCACACATGGCACGGCAACAGCGGACCACTGCTATGGCGGAATCTCAATTTTCGGCCCAACGCGTAGAGACGTAACAGCACGGAGTCAAGCCGATGCCAAGAAAGAGGCGACGCCAACCTCCTCAAGCACATCAACAGCCACAGACAGCGCGCCGCCCCTGCTCCCCACGTTCGACAGGTGCCAACGTACATGCGACAAACTCATAGACGCTGCAGCCGTCGAAAACGCCCGCCCTTTGTTCAACTACCCTGCATGCTCAGGCTTTGGCCTCACCAAGAGCTCGACCTCTTTCTCGTTCTCGCAGGCTACGGCGTACGCGAGGGGTGTCATGCCGTCTGCATCCCGAGAGTCCACTGCCGCTCCCAGGGCAAGGAGGCTCGAGATCACCGAGGACTGGCCCCGGTCAGCCGCAAAGTGGAGAGGCGTTCTTCCCTCCTCGTCCTAAACGGTCATCAGCAGCATCCAACAACCGCATGGTTCTTGTTGTTAGCATTTCCCATCGCCCCCCACCACAACGACGCGAAGACGATGCCAGCATCGCGCAGCACGTTGCTGCAATATTTCAGGTAATAAGGAGCTCTAGTCTGCCACTAACTCATCTTCAAGCGAAAGGCGTTGTAAGAGGACCATGAATCGTTGATATAACAACAACAAGTGACTAGACCTTTCCCGGCAGGCTTCGTCTGCGGCCCTACATATGTACAGGAACGTGGGTAAAAGGTAAACTGGACATTATTGGAGTCTACCGAAAGTGGAATCCCCTCCAAGTGGTATCTCGTGTACATGGCACGCATCGGGGCTGATGCTCATGCTCATCACTAACCGAAAGCTCGAACCTTACCACACATAAAGTAAACCTTGCGACCGCACTGTAAACAGCATGATAAGGTGCAGCAGACAGCAGAAAAGTACCTGCGCGTCAACCTTAACCCCGCTAGACACGAGATCGCGTATTCGGACGACGTCCCCGTCGCTGGCAGCCGCGAAAATCTCCTCGTTCGCGCCCCATTCCGCCGTGTTCCTATCGAATCCGGGGACACGTTTGACTGGAGTGGTTGATTCGATTGGGTGGAGTCTCTGGGCGTGTGAGGCGCTACGGCAACAACACCGCTGCGAGGCACACAAGGCGAAGACATGCATCTCGACTATTTACTGTCATAGTGCGGGCTCCGTTGAAATCACACCGTTGTTCCACAGCAGAAGGAACAACGCGTCTTGAAAGTGAATACCCGCCTCACCCCTGTCCCGCTGCCATGGTACTGACGGTCACTCCAAAGCCGAGCCCGGCCCCGTTCTCGTCCTCTTCCTTGTCGCTGCCCTCCCACTGCAAGTCTTTCTTCATGTCCTCCTGGGTGACCGTCCCCGCGTCGCCCGGGGGCTGGCCCTGAGCCTCAGCCAACCAGTCGGGACAAAGCTCGGTAACCTTGAGGAGGTAGGACTTCATGGCCTCTACAGGTTCCATCCCGCGGAGTCGATTCCACGCTCCCCTGCCGGGAGCAAACAGCGAGAACCAGGTCGATCGACAAGCCGGCATGGAGGGAAACGGGGACGCTACAACGACAGGAACGAGGGCGAGTTGTGAGCAATAGATGGATGGCACCGAAGGGCTTGGTAGAACCCGGACCGAAGGGCTTGGTAGAACCCGGAGCATCCCGGAACCCTGCTGAGGAGCACTCGGTTGACCTACTTTCGCCCACACGCCCACACCCATCCGCCGGTGGTACCGTTTGAACCATAACCCCAAAGGTCCGGTAGACACTAATCCCTCACTGACCATTTTGCTCTACCGACAAGATCGATGAGTCCAGGCTTGGGATCCTCACAGTCGCCTTCCGTGGCCTGCTTGAACAGCGAATACAGCTCCAACCTCTGGTCAGACGATAGAGCCACACCTTTCACCGTGATCATGTGGTTCGCCGCCATCCCGAACAGTCGCTCTGTATCCTATGTATCGACATGCAGAAAAAACAACATTGGTTCCAGATGGGTGGATGAGAGGCATATATGTAAGTTCTGAGGTCGGAGACGACGTGTGGGGTGAGCATAGAAAGATAATGTGCAGCAGGTTGCACGAAAGGCATTCGTGCTTCGTGCGGGATGAACATGCGGATTCAGACTTGGTTCTAGCAGACATGGTTTGCTCCGCAACTACTTTCGTCGTGAACACCTTCATAATGGTTGTGTCATTGTGTCACAAGGTGGAACACACTACGCACACCTCGTCGCACACAGATGGGGGTTCCATGGCTGCCATGATGTCTTCTGAGATTGAAATTCCCCGCTGCTGCAGGCGGTGATGTGTGCGTGTGCAAGACAAATAGTCAGGTGAAGGTGGGGGATCGCCAGCTGAGAAGCAAGCCAAGCACGGGGAGGGTATACGTGAAGGAGTTCCACTAGGGGTTCCCGGAGGCTGTTGGTTCACAGAATAGAGAACCATAGAGACAGCGACAGCGCGGCAGCAGCAGCGACGAGCTGGCAGCAGCTCGTCGTGCTACGCACACACTCGTCCTGTTCTCTCGACAACCATGCCATCAGACCAAGAAGACCAGCTCACGTTCCTCGACGATACGCTTATTTTGGTAATCTCTTCGGTAGGGCTCCTGTGCGTAACGGCGGCAGTCTTGTGGGTTGTCCGGCAGTCGCCAGATTGGCAGAAGGCAGACCGTCAACCCGCAGGGGAGCAGGATGGCGACGCGGGCTTGCTCGGCGGAAGAACGAGAGTTGTCCCTGGCGGGCGTGAAGCGGCGAAGGCGGCTCGAAAAGAGGCCAAGAAGCGAGCAAAGGCAGAGTTCAGCCGATCTTCGGCTGTGCAAAAGCGTCAAGTGAAGGTGTGTACAAAACCGCGGTCATGTTCGGCAGTAGCCCAAACTATTGTACTGCTGTACAAGTACCACCACCGAGTTTGGTTTAGTGGGGGACCACCTGTACCTGGTTCTCCGGTCTCCGGTCTACGCAAATAGAGGACGTGCTCGGAATCCGTGCCCGTCATATTTTCGCATGTTTTGCTACTTCCGCCGGAAACTCTTGAAACCATGGCAGAGTAAGCGCTCAGCACAGCAGCAGCAGCCGCGTTCTCACGCGGATAGGGAGCGCACAAAGGAGGAGGAGCGGAAGGAGAGGTCTGCGGAAGCTCTGCGGCGACTGAAGAGCTACATTCTGGATCACCAGGTACGGAAACAACTGAAACCGATGATTTTGTAAGGCGCCCTCGGTCGAAAAGCTCCCCTTTGCAGAATTTGTCGGACAGTGGCGGATGACGCGTGCAAAACGAGGGGCGGTTGCGAATATGCATTCACCCAAATGCAAAATCCTTCAGAACAGTCCACTGCTATATACACACCTGAAGTTTGTGGGTAATATGAGGTTGCGCTAGGATCACAAGTGCCACAGCAATGTTGCACATTAGACCCAGATCTTCGATAGGTTAAAGCTAAGGCTTGCAGATAGGTACCTTGTTCAACCGTAGAGTATATGGGATGGGTGACGCGTGTGGTCGATGTGTAGGCGTCGGAATAGGTGATAACTGGTTGCTGCAGAGTCCACACAGCAGACCCGACTATATGTTGCACTCAAGCAGCCAAGTTTCAAGAATATATGCCTTGGGTGGCTTTGAAGCCACGCTAACCCCTGATGCGCTCGTCATGGCGGTGATCAATGATGATGTGGTCCGACGCCGCTGAACAGGTAGCAATTTCAGGCCATGTCAACACCACAGCCACATCCATTGAATGAGTAGGATACCCCCCCAGGTCTTGGCAGCAAGCAACATGTAGGAACCATGTGCACACGAGCCTCCGAAACACAGCAGTAGCGCTAGCAATCCTTACCAAAGCTACCACTGTAGCCTACAAGGTCAGCTCCTCAATTGTTGCGCCATGTCCAATTTCCACGACCACCATCTTCCTTTCTCGAAAAGGTGTCATCTTTGGGAGATCTAGAGGTTGAACTTAGTTTGCCATCAGAGGAGATCGTGGATAAAATCGAGGAGCTGGAAGCCCGCGGTGATTTCACGGGCATCCTGGTCGACGACGCGCGAGGTAGCAGCAGCGGTGGCTCTTTCGTTCGGGTTGGCGAGGGCGAGATGCGCGCTCTTGCGGCCTTCATCAACGAGCGGGGGCGACTGACGCTTGCCGAAGTTGCCGCTGAGGCGAATAGGGTGCTGGATCTTTCAGAATCACGAATAAAAGAGACCCGAAGAAGAATTGGTCTTGGTGAGCGGCATTTTGATGAGGGGAGTGGCGGGGTGGGGGGCGAACACGGTGCTTTAGACGGAGAATCCTAACGCCACGCCGCGTCGACGTGTAAGGCACCCGCCGAAGCAGTAGAGTCGTGAGACGGTTGCTGAGTGAATCGCCGAAAATTAGTAGAATTGTAGGCACTTCGAAGCCTCGGAAAGACAGGTCGCCAGAAACCACAAGGGAACGGGGTATGCGAGGCAATAGAGACGCTGGCTGATTTGGCAGCAGGGGCAACGAATCAAGCTCATGTTTGACGACCAAGCCTGGGCGGACAAGTTGGGCGGATGAGGAATACGGCTACATGTATTGCGGTGACAACGACCGCAACTTTCCTGTGAATAAGATTCGTGGAACAACAGATTCTACAGTCGGAAACGTCAGCGCATGCCGTATCGCAGAGTGTTCCCAGGCCCTCGGGTTTGTGTGGGCATTCCTTCACCAAGAATATGGAGTGCACCGACGACAAGAGGGAAGGAGACATGAACATCGCGGGCCCCTCGTTTGTGTGAATGAAACCGAAGCTTCGGTCTCTCGCCATCACGTGCGGCGTCATAGAACGAAAGGCCAAATATCCCACAAGGGTTTGATTGCCAGCCGGTGCGCTGTTTGCATCAGCGGAAATGGCATGACATGCCGCTACCACTTGCAAATTGTTGCTTTTACTAAACAAGTTTCTTAAAAACAATTCGTATCGCGACCAATCATCCTCGTGGGCGTGAAGATAGCCATATACAACGCCTAACGCGGCACAGTTGACCCTGTCAATCGTGCTTCTTTGGCGAAACCACTTGCAAACCCCTCACAAACAGACCGCTAACAGTATAAATCCCTCCCACGATAGCGCAAACGCTGGTTATCAACTCGAACATCGACCGCCTCGCGTCGGTGTATTTGACCATGACGCTGGTAAAATCGTACGAGAACTCGACGCCCAAAAGTAGCGATGACGAGGACAGGTCTTGTAGCACGGCAGCTTCTGGCACGAAGGCAACGTTGGACGAGTACGTGTGGGTGTTGACCTCTGCCCCGTGCATACGTCGGTGTGAGATCGGCACCACCTTCAAGGAGTACTTGACCAAGCCCGACCCCTCCTCCGACACGAACGTGCTCCTCGCCAAAGAATTCCTTCCGACCCCCACCGGTCCCTTCACCGGAGGCCCGAACCCAAAGTCGTGGATCTTGTGGGTCATATTCTGGCCCGCAACGGCTTTGGGACCGGACCGGGTCTCTCCCTTCGTCCGGGCAAGAAACCTGCCCGTGAATATGACTCGAGAAGGGTCGTGGTGCATCACGTGGATCACGATCGTCCCCGCCGCCCTCTCTACGGTTGCCGTCCCATCCAGCGTGCAGCCCAGGCCGCCACCTTGCGGTTGGAAGGGATATCTCTCGGCCTTCGATGCTGGTCTCTTGTGTACCGACACCGCCTCCGAGTTTGGAACACCCCCCTGAGGATGATCGGTGACAACCTCCAAGTCTGTTTGTTGGCAAAAGGAACAGCAGGTGGGGGGGCGAGGAGACAACTCATTGTTTGTACTAGCGAGTTGAGCATTGGCCCGGGCGTCGTCATTCCTTCCTGAGGCCGCGCACAACTTGTTCGCGTGATGGAGACGCGACTAACATCTGGGCGCAAAAAACCGGGGATGACACTTACTACTTGCGTGTTGAAGCTTGCAAGTCATATGTATCTCCCAACATGCCTACCCGAGGGGTGTGGATGGAAAACGACAGAATGATAATTACTTCTGCGAAGCTGAGATTCCGCCAGTCCTCATACAGATCAGGGTTCCTTCAGGTGGCGTGCGCACCAAACTGAAAACGCTACGTACCAGCCAACCACCGCAAGGGCAAACACAATTGAATGTGTAGGTTGCGGGCGGTTCGTACAACAAGTTTAGTTTATGAAATCGCATCACGACATGCACCGGTGTGACTACAGGTGAGCTCAGCAATACAGCGTCTGTGCATCTGGAACGCATGGGGGCAGCAATAGCTGTTGAGACAGCTGGCTGGCCATCCACACCGCAGTCGCACTGACCTTTGCATTCTACAAAGGGGAACGTGGCGTGCAACCGAGCGGTAACGGCGTCGTGCTCGTGGAAGTCCGCGACCGCCATGTGGCTCGAGGTGTCCACCTTGATGTACGCCAGCAGCTCCGATATGACGAGCACCGCCATAAGCGTCACTGAAGCTATTGAAACTGTTCGACGGGCCACCGGGCAGGAACGTTGAACACGGGGGAGAACATGATCATGCTGTCTTTACACTTATCAATTGCTGGTATCGATAGGCATTTAGTTTCGAGATTCGACAAGCCCGCGCCAACGCCTATGTCAACGTTGAAAATGTGACACCCAGAAAGTCTACAGGCCAAAGGTCCAGATTGCGCGGGAGGGGAAGACTGCTGTTTTGTCAACAGGGAAAAAACGAGGAGGTCGCTGATCCATGATGCCCTCTACTCATGTAGCATCTGAGATCTAGACTCTCTCCACCGGCTGGTGGTTTTGGATATTTCCTGTTAGATTGGACTACAAGCAGATACCGCCCGTTTCAGCAGCCCTTAACGCTTGATACAGGCCTAGGTCTTCACAGGTCAGGTTTCTCAAAGATCGTCGGATCTCTCAGCCAAGGATTCAGCAAAACGTGCTGTAACATGATTACTGTATGCATATGATGCCCTAAATAGGAGATATCGAGCCTGAAAACTGGCCCAAGGAGGTATGGTTCCTCACGCCATAGACCGGCAATCAAAGTGGCTACATTAGGAGTTGTACCGCACCCCGACCCACCTGAACCCACCGGTATGTAACACCCCAGAGCACGGCGTCGCCGTAGCATGAGACATACAGCAGACTAATAGTGTACTACAAACTGCTGCCCTACAAGAGTAAGAAGAGACGACGTGAACCCGTACGCGAGGGTGATGTTCGCCATCTACACCAGGACAGCGATTGCATTAGTGGAGAACGGGAGCGGAGAAGACGTTGGGGTGAGAACATCTTTGGTTTGGCGACGCAGGACGGCAGACGACGGGACGACGGGAGCCAGAAAACGCGGAGGAACTCAACTCACCTAACGCTCCCACGAGAGATTTGTCGAGGACGCCTTGGACGGCCTTTTGACCCAGGTCGAACCGCCGAAACCTGTTAGCTGTAAACATCCCGCAAGAAGAGCAGGTAACTGCATCAAGGTAGGTATCTAGCAGAGGCGCGTTGGATGCTGGGGTTGTCCTGCCAAACCCGGACCAGCCGGGCCGTTGGCTTTCGGGGGCGACGCTGTATCCTCCATCCAGATGACGGTGTATACAAAAAAAAAAAAAGCGGCCGACACAACAACACCACGCCGCTGCAGCGCCACAGCACAACCCAACATCGACAAATCGATACGCACACATTTCTCCAGCTGCACTTCTCTGCCTCTCCTAGCTCTCCCCCAGCCTGCAAACACCACGCCAGATTCTCCTATGACCAGCGCACGCCTTCCGACGCGCGCAATGCACACCTCTTCGGCTGCCGCCACTGGTGCCGCTCATGCGCGTGCTGCTGCGCTGTCGCTGGTGCTCTTGTTATTTTTAAACGCGCCAACAGCATGCGGATTCCAGGCGACCACCATGATGGTGGCGAGGGCTTCTTGGAAGGAGTACTGGCTGGCCAAGAACGGCGCGACGAATGCCCCCTCGGCGGTCCCATCGACACGAGGCGCGGCGCGGCGGAGCAGCCGGACTAGATGGGAACCCACGAGGCCCGCGTGGTGGATCGCCAAGAGCCCAGCCAAGGTGCAAGGCGCACCTCCGGTGCTTGCAACGCCTGACCTGGACGGAGGAAGCTTCGACAAGGAGCAGATAACCGACGTCCTCCAGCACGAGTACAGGCACAATCTCGTGCGCGTTGCCCAGAAGTACGACTCCCTCATCGAGAGCGTGGAGGGCGTGGACGCGATAACCATCAAGGAGCTGGATGGGTGGGTTCCGAAAAAATCGTTGGGTAATTCTTTATTGGCGGTTGGTCGGCGGCGCGTCGCACTTCTGGCACCAGGGCTTACTCTGTGTTTGGGCGAATTTTGCCCCCGATACTGCTTAGAGTCGTCTCTGCACTGATTCATGGTTTGCATGACGCGAGTAGGCTCCCTTCCTGTGTCGTTGTGCCCGACGCGCTGCTGATAGCGGTGGCAAGTGTCCCAAGAAATATACAACGGCTGAAAAAACTACGTCACGAACAAGCCCCCCCAAACAACGTCGCGGGTGCTGTTTGCTGTTGCTGTAGAATCTCCCGTCTCTCGGTGGTTTTGGATTGGCCAAATCAGCCAATTACTTCAAGTGCGAAGCGTGACAAGGTGACATCACGATTATCGGGGCACAAGGCTGCCGTGCGAACATACGTAGCGAACACTCCTTGTGATCTACCAACGCATTTTGTGATACATGCAGCTAATCTTGCAAGGGCTTAGAAATGAGTCGCGTGCGTGCGATTGTAAATGAAACATTCTGCCGGTGTTGGCGGCGGATGTCAGTATGTGTGGATGTGTGGTGTGCGCGTGTGTGTGGTGCTTGGAAGAACATTTTCGTATGCACAGGGAAGTGCACAATTGCACACGCCTAACGTCACGCATGTGCTGTGTTTTGGCCGTGCTTTTTGGCAGCTGAGCAATGCCACCCGTGGAACGTCCTGCTGCTGTGGAACAATAATGCACGTGACATCAGAGAAACCTACTTTTGTGTTTGTGACATCCCGTGCGAGGCTACGTATGCATGTGCTGCTGTGTTCGGAGGGATGTTGTGTGATGTGTGGAAGGTATCTTTGAGGGTTCATTCAGCGAAGCTGTTGGATGCGGGACTTGCTTGGTCTGGTTTTGAGTTTTTAGCTTATGTGCTGCTGCTGTACAACAGTGAGAGATGAGTCATGCCAGCTGGACCTATTACTGTACTCCTCTCTACTGTTGATGGGGGAGGTGGGGGGTGTACTCATAGTCGTGCATGCCGTAGTCGTTAGACCATTGACCTCGCATCCCTACAAAGCCGGGACAGAGCACGCCGGGTTCGCACCGGACCAGGCCCTCACATCACCAAGCGCGAAGCGCCGTGAGGTATTCGGCGAGTCGCATGAAGGGTGCGCTGCATCTTGCTAAGGGTGTTCGGCATCTTGTGCTTACTTCCTTGCACACAGATGACAGCTGCGTATGACTTCATTTATTTTCTGGTGCTTTCACTTCCAGAGGCAGTTAAAAGCACTGCTGTGTAACTGCCTCGAGGATGCTTGACCATTTTAACACAACGTGGTGCGATTATCCCCCTTGCGCGGGACAACATGATCTACTCGACCATCATTCATGGTTACCGCAAAAAAATAACGGTAACCTGGTTGCCGAGTTCACGAAGTGACTTGGCTTGTTTTACAACGTCGTTGCCAAGCGACGAAAACCCAATCCCGATGTCATACTTGTGGTCGAGAAAGAATTTGCAGCAGTCCATCTCCCTCCGTTGTAGCACGTTTCATACTCATACCTGACGCACGACATGGTAGATGTATGTAGAACATTGCAAGCCCCACCGTAAGAGACAACAAACTCATGTGTGGGCATAATGTAGCAGGAAAATCATAATTAAAGTGATAAGTAACATCCCTCCGCTCCGCCTTGTCTTTTCCTTGATTCTCCCTCCCCAACGTGCGTTGTGTTTCTTTTACGCCCCCAGGGATCACATGCAGCTGGACGTCGTTTACTGCGATCAGGGAGAGCGAACCTGCGTCGCGGTTGCCGTGCCCGTCGTTTTCCCGTACCACTGCAACGACGGTAAGCATGTCAGACCTGCATATGTCGGGAAAAGTATACTGCTGTAGCGGAGAAAAAGCCCTATAACTAGGCTGCGCTCCCCGCCCACATCGTTTCCTGCCGTGGGTGTCCATGATGGCCTTTATTTGTTTTGCTACGGTCAAGGTACTCAAACGAAGCAAGCTTGACCTGAAACATTAATCCAAGGCCTTACGTGGCGTGCGTTCGCGACCAGCAGAAGCTACTATGGATCGGCGTCAGTATCACCCGAACGCAATAAAATAAATCCATGACATGCTGGTTCACGGAAATGAACCCGAATATGTTCAACCACCGCTGCCTAGACGAAGTATGTACACAATATTGACATATCTTGTATCAAAGTGACCCCCATGAGCAAGGGAACGAATCACCTTGGCCGGAATTTCAATCAGAGCCGTGGCCACAATACAAGGGGCATAAATGTGTCCCGGCCAATCAGAAGCCTCAAATGCGATATAAAATTAATAATGCATGCAACCCCGCACTTCCCACCTCTTTTTAACGTAGTTTTCCAAAAAAAAAATCCCCATACTCTTGAGGACCTAAAGAAAAGAAAAAAATAGGAAATGATAGAGATGGATTCGTTGTGTCATATTAAGAAAGAAAAAAAAAACGGTCATCGTGGAAGCGAGTTGCCCAAAATTGTGGTTCTTCGGCCGAGATTTGGCGTCGTCGAGTTTCCGCGGACGGATTGTATTAATACGCAAAGAGTCTCATGTTGGTTTGCCTCGTATACATCGAAGGAAATGTTGAATCATCCTCAGATTTGATAGCATGGTGCAACAAAGTTGCCCAAACCGTTAAAAAAAGAATGAGGCAATATTTGCACTGCTGACTGGCGTATTGCGGTCCCCGGTGTTGAACCTCCGAAAACCGGTACCAAATATATGAACACCACTTTTTTTTTTTTTCCACTGCGGGATACTTCCATGATCCTTTCCAGAAAGTTTTGTAGCAGCGCTTGTAAGACTATCGCAGTACGGGGCTTTGCAGTGAGAAAGGGGCCCCGCGGACCTAATTCTTTACTAAAGTTTCAAGTAGGTTGGGGGAAAATCAGGGTGGCGAATACTTCCATGACACAAAAGCTAAAAACTTCACACGCCGTTTTCAGGAGTTAGACTTTGAAACTTTGCACACATGTACATTGGGTTGGCGCTGTGCGGTGGGGGCTTTTTTTTTTTTCCCCAGGAGTAGCACATGACCCCGAAAACTCTAGAACCCCGAATATCCGGCGACAGGGGGAAAAAATAAAAAAAAGGCCTCTCCACACAGCGCTGCGTACTACCCCAATGTACATGTGTGCAAAGTTTCAAAGTCCAACTCCTAAAAACGGTGTCATGTTAAATGTTCTTGTATCCATTTCCTTGAACCAGCTTGTAATACTGCGCGCCTGTATGCATAAATAACAATTTACTGACCTGGTCCCGTTTTTTTATACGCTCCTTTGGCCGTGCGACCTGCGCGATTCTTACTCCCCCCGTTGGTTCTATTGGTCCTATCAGCTGACTGCGTTATTGGCGTCATCCACGAGCTGGAGGAAGCGGAGAACGTGGAGCCGAGACCAGCCATGGCGAACGTTCCCCCGGTAGGAAAAAACAACAAAAACACAACATGAAACGCGACACGACACAGGTGTTGATAGCGCCCGCGTAATTGCGGGTGTGTCTGCATCTGCATGTCGCAAACACTTGTATGCACGTGCGCGTCGCCTCTAGTGCAATCCGCGAGAGTATGTGCATACAAAAATATGTTTTGGGGGGGCCGTTTTTGACCCAGCATGCAGGATATCACACATGATATATCTGTCATGCGTTCTCAGTAGTTTTGCGGCATTGGCTGTGTTAGCCTTCCAGGAATAAAATTTGTGGTACTCCAGACCTTGACCCCGGCATTGTGTTCGTTAGGTCATTGTGATCCCCTCAAACTCGTGTTTGAAACAGTCAATATCTGGTGTCATAATGCATAGGTGCTCGACAGCATTTTTCGAATATGTGGCAGTAAGCTAGCATGCAGTCCCGGACTACCCCTTCAATCGCTTCAAACGCTCTTGCTGCCAAAGCATGCACGCGTAAACATGCTTCATTCGTTCCTATTTTCACTTGATTTCCCGCATGCTCTTGCTCGCTTCCCTTGCAGAAGTACGTGTCGCCGGAACTTATCGGGACGATCGCAAGGATCTGCGTCGTGATGAACCGAGATTTCCAGGTTCGTGTTTGTGTTATCTTCGTGGGCACGGGAAGAACCAATTCTATCGCATGCTTGATTGGAGGGGATGCCCATAGAAGAATGGTTGTGATATTCGTATCGCCCTGAGCGTCTGTGACGGAAGGCCAAGCATTTTGTTTCAGCTTTTGAACGTGTGCGAGCAAAGAAACATGATTAGCTGTATCAACCAACACGGCTGGGGTTCTACCAAAACTTGTAGGTGTTACCCCGCATGTATGTATGCATATGAATCGACATGTCCACAGGCTAGACACGATCACATGATGAATTAAACATCAAACCCTCAGGCGTTCTCTGCAGAGAAAGGAGGTGTTTCCTCCCACTCTCGTACCCTACATAACCGGCAGAACCGAACGAGCACCGGCCGAGTAGATGTGTCGCTTCACATGGTTGAGATCAACAGCGGTTTTTTTATAACTCTCGTGCACGAAGCATCGAACCCTTGGTCCCTCGTTCAACTCCTGTGCTAACTCGGATGGTGCTGCACTACATGTATGCTTCAGGACGAGCTGAGAAACTTCGTGCGAGCATTTGGGGGACCGGTTGCTAACGAGATGGTGGGGAACTGCGAAATGCTCTCCCTCTCGCCTGACGGTTTCATGGTGCGGTCGGAGGCGAACCCAGACAAGCCGGTGTCGATAGCCTTCTCCAAGGAATGCCAGTCCGCATCGGACTTCCAGAAGCAAATCCTGTTGGTCAGTGAGCGGGCCATGGCGATTGCGTAAGTTTTGCGTGCTCACGAGAGGAGGGCTTGGACGGGCAGCAGCTCCTGTAGATGTTGTGGGGCGAGGGTGTCTTGAGATCCTTGGAACGCCCGCTTCTGTGGTGTGTAAGTTTGGATTGCCCTGGTCGTGACGGGAGGGGGAACGATTCACGCGCGAAGGGGCTTGAAACAGACGGCGGTTTCAGATTATTTGCGTGCGATGCGGGTACTAGAGAGGACATCTGAGAATTGTGTCACATTTTTTTGTTGGCTCGTGGGTAGGTTAGGTTCCGTGTGCGGTAGAGCGAGGGCAGGGACCTGAGGGACCTGATGATCGTGGTGAGATTCAGGCCCGTTGGCAGTGTCCGAGTTCATACAAGTAGGGAGGGGAGGGGCTTCGTGCATGACATCGGTCTTGCGAAAGCAGGGACGGTTGGATGAGGTCTCCGTGGGCTTCAGAGTTTCATTGCTTACGTGTAGTTTTCTCATTTCGGACCGAAGCCGGCGCCGAGTACTTGCTGGTTTGCAAGTTACCAAAATGATCAAATGGTTTACCCGAGATACGTAGAAGACGGAGGATTTGTGGATTAATGGCCTATCGGGTTGGTGTCAAGTTGTCACCCGCGGGAAAAGATGAACGGTGCAGACTGATGGTTTCCGGGATGTTTTTTTGGATCCCCCTCGCTTGAATGTATGCTGGTCATGTAGGTTGTACGATGGTTTGTCCTGAATGGGGCGATGAGGCAAGCCGTCGCCACACCGTCCGAACGGTATCCTAGGGTCGTCAGCTACTGTAGTAGTAAAGGGCGGCTTTTTATCTGTTTTCATGTTTTGTATCTTGTCATGTTGTTTCTAAAGCTATCTCCGCCCTTGCTGTTATTCTGGCAGGACGATTTTGTTCGTAGTTTTGTTGTTCTTTCGCTCATGGCTCCGAGTTGTTGAATCCTCACGGAGGCGAAGCTCGAAGCTGGTTATTACCGTTGATAGCTCACGAGGTTTTCCACGATGAACAGTGAACAGGCGGGTTGCGAAAGAGACGAAAAAGTGCCGGTTCTGGAGCGGGTACACGTCGTTTATCATTCCTTAATCTTGTTCCCCAATCAGAATGTATGATCGGCTTGTGGACGTGTTGACTGCTTGACATACTTGGGTGGTGTTGGGTGATTTTCGGAACGCGTTTGGGTGGTGGTGAGTTTGGCTATGTGGCGAAGAGAAGAGAGATAGTCCGAAGGAAGATTATCGAGAGAAAGAAACAATCTCCGTCCACGCAGACGATTGATGTAGAAAAGCAGGCGAGCACGCATCCATTCATGTTTGTGGTATTTATGTTGAGTCAAGGAATCTGATCCAGAGTTGCGGTGTCAGGGCCTGAATCACGAAGAAGTTCTTGATTGGTCAGTCGACAGCATATCGATCGAAGACGTTGATGGTGCTCATGCGGGTCCCTGGTAGTTATATTTTGATGTGGCTACGTGTGATTAGCAAAGGTATTACGGCGGCCTGAAACGTATCATGTGCTTGATGAGCACTCAGACTCGCTGTTCGAATAAGAACAAGGAAGAAATGTCGCTCGTTCGAGGCCCTGTTCCTTGTTTTGCGAGGTGTTGTGTAGTGGCGAAAGAAAGGTGTTCGGCAAGCACGGGCGGGTATGGATCACGATGTACATTGGTGGGGACGTGATGTACCACTCCCGCGCGATGAGGTCGAAAGGATGTGATCGGAAGAGCGGTTCGAAAATTAGGGGTATATATTCTTTATGTGACAGGGGGTTGAGCTATTGCGTGAGATCGTTCAGGTTTGATTGTATTGATAACAAAGATTTTCAAATGTTTTTTTCTCTTTTTTGCGATTCGGAGTGGTAACAACGTGTCGGGGGGTGGGCGTGAGATACAGCAGCTTCTTGCATCAGCCCGTTGTGCTGAATGTTGCTGTTGCTTGCAGCATTTTCCCACACAGCGGAATGAAGCGATAGAGCCACCGCCGCGATGCGAGCTGAGAGAAAATGGGCAGGGCCAAAATATCCGGGGAAAAGAACTTACGCTTCCTCTTGTTTCCGGAGTAGAAACCAATCCTATTCGGATTCGGATTGGACCCCGTATTGTAAGAAGGGGCATCACACATGTTTATTGCTGCACAGCAGCAGTGTGTCCCCGCACTGCTGCACGGTTGAAATGTTTTCCAGCATGTATGTTATTTTTCTCTCGCAGCCCACCAACAGTGTTGCAGTGCACGAGGTCGCTGCCGACCATGTCCAAAGATCTTGCAAGATGAACTACTACGAGAAACACGTGCGTATCGACCGAATGATGTTGTTCCCCGTCACGAGCTATCATTGGAACATCAACGAGGCACAGGCGACAAAGTACGTCCCGTGGGCACAAGTACAACAACGAACCCTAAAACGCAATTATTGTGTTTCTTACACGGACGTTTTTTCACCATAAACTCAGTAGACATCCACCCGCAGCAGCATACATACTCCCAATTTTTTCTCACCATAAACTGAATGGACATTTCACGTGCAGCATTCTCCCAATGCTGTCTCACAATAAACTTCACGGAGGCTCACCTGCAGCCTCCCAACGTTGATGTTGTATCCAACAAAAAGACCCCGTGTCCTGCCGCTACGCTCTCTCTCGTAGATAGATGCATGGCGTATACATGTGTACATAAGCATGGTTGCTCTCGACGGCTGAGGAAGTGCCGGCTTCACGCCTTGCACGGCACCCAAGCCAACAATCAGAGTCTATCTTCACTCCTCTCTTCGAGATTAGAACCCATCCTTAAACAAAACAAACCTCTTTCTCAAAAACTCATACGAAATCCGAAAGTACATGCCATCGCCGGAAAACCCGTTTCAAGTACGTTTCTATCGTTTTCACGTTAATCCCAATTATTCTTATCCTTCGCCAAAAGGCATTTGAACTGCCGACAAGCACGTTCATTTAATTAAGTGGTTCAATCCTTCCACGCCCACCAAACCCTCCCTGCCTTGGTGTCAAGTCTATCGAAAGCGTTTTTCTCCAACATAACGCTTACTTACTATCGAGTCGACGCCCCCATTGGAGTTAAGATATGGCGATACAATAGATAGGTGTTGGTGACAACAACCTTCCGCCGCAACAAGTGCCCATCGGAACCGCTGTACAACAGGAGTCGTCGTGGACCACTTCCAAAAATACTGCTACGGCCAACCCTCTATTTAAGATAGATCGATTTACAGAGAGAGGTGAAAAGCGCAGAGCGTAAATCTCCCGTTGCTCGTGTCGTGCTAGTACTACTGCCGCTGGTGGCCATTCCACTGCAAGCAACAACCCGGACAACACAGCAAGAACAACAACAACAGCCCCCGATACTAATATATGAGATATAGAGCGGCTGACACACGGCAGACCCCCCCCCCCCTGAC